TGGGTCGTAGTAAATTGATTTGTATTTTCTCGTAACAATACGTAGGAGGTACAGCTTTCTTACCGATAAGATACCGCTTTTTAAATAGATATAAGCTATCCGTTGGTGATCTTTATGGCAGGAAGAACATTACTTTCAGAAGAGCTCTTTCCAGATTTAAGAAACTAGTTTTGGTCGCACCTCCCCAAACTGACCGGTGGTATGTCACTCCATCTTTTTTCTTCGCAGTTGAAGCGTTTTTGCATGTTTTTAAGACGCACTACGATATTTTTTAATTTTCATGTAATCGCAATCCAGCCACTAGAATTTAGTTCAATGGACTTGGACTGTGGTATCTCGTCGCGACTGGACGGCGATGGCATGCTCGGCATTGCTCGGGTGTTTTCAGCGGTTGCGCAATGCTTCTAAAGAGTACATAAAAATTTGAAGAATACGATAATTTGTTTAGAATATCAAACGAACATACATACATAAATAGCCTTCTAAAATCGTAACCAATCTTATGACTTTGCCTTCCTCGTGTAAAAGTATTCACTTACATCATCTGCCTCAAATCAGAAGACATGAATACACTGCAATCGGTTTCCGTATTCGAATTCAGATAGCGCATGGTGCAGCGCTATTTGTATCCCACACGTGCACATTTCACGCACACTGGTGTATTTTGATTTTGGTCTCATATTATTCACTCCATTGCCAATCTAGTATTTAATAAATCTATGTCACAGACTCGGATCAACAACAAAGATGATCGATTAATCAAGATAGATTGAGTGCTTCATTATGTGTGTTCATTTCTAGTGACACGGAAACCGAGTCATCACCATGCTCGACATTTTGTAAGAATACGTTCTCATATACACCCTTGATTTTAATGCACATTTGTGCATCCAGAAGAAAATCTTAATTTCAAAATCTGACACTAATCCGATGATATTCCGTCCGGACGTTAATCTGAGCGAGATTCAAATGGTACTCCAACACTTTGAAAACGACAAGGCCTCTGCCGTAAGGCACTGGCGAGGAAAGAATTGCAGCAGAGCTACTACTAAAGCTGGGTGGAAAACACTTCTTTTTTTTTTTGAAAGTTCATTATACTTATTCTTGAAATGCAACGCCTTATTTAAGAATTTTTGACTCTTGATTTATTTCCCTACTGAGCCACATCTTCATACTATATTCGAAAATACGAACCGTCTCACACGCAGACTTGACGATGTACAGCCTTCGAACAAGTCTGTTTTCAAAAAGGCTTTAGTACAATAAACCACTTACATAGGCTTCGGCAAATATTTCCAAAGAGTACATTCTGCCACTTTGTCTTATATACAGGGACTATGAAAAGGCTTTGATTCTGATGAAATTTGGGTGGCGCTACAGTCTAATCAGCATGTTATTTTGACTGTCAGTCAGGGGCAAATTAAATGTTCATAGCTCCCTAGGTTTACACCTCATCGGCGGTCTGGCAGTCGTATATTATAAAATAATTAGGTGATTCAGGTGTACCTGTACACTTAACACTGTGGATGTGTATGAAATATATAACGAGTGTGAGGATGATATAGAAGTAATAAAGTGGGAGGCCGCACTTTCTAGCTCAATATCTCTATAGAAAGTATAATTTTTAATGAATATGTAGGTACTTATCGTTTTTATTTAAAATTTCAGACTTTTAAGCCCACTTTTCACTATGGGGTATATATATAATTTATATTACATCTCGAGATATAAATTAATATCGCTTAGTGTTAATTATATCCCAAACTATAAATATATTTTCGAACGACCGAGCGATATTTTCATATTATACAGGGTATTTGGAAGGTCGATGCAAAGCCGTAAAACGGAGCTAGTATAGACTATTTCATCATCAGGTCATCCGGGTACTTTTATTTTATTTAAGTAATGTGTAAACAGTCTAATGTAATATGATTCAGGCATCTGTGTCATGAAATAAGTTTCTTACAGATATTTGAAATCAATGATTTATTTAAAGATTGAGGAAAGCTGTTATTTGACGGCATTAAAAAAATACGGATGGTATTGTTTTCGTTCACATTTTTTAAAAACATTCCTGGTTATTGTTCTTTCTTTTGAGGCATCAACTACACGGATAGCTCACAAATTATTGAAATTGGGGCTTATAAACCAAATTGAGGGAGAAAATTAAAAATGTCAAGCACGGCGGTAAAACGACATTAGTACTTTAAAAAAACACTTGTAATGTTGGAAATGAACAGAGTTCAATTCTAAGTATTAATTGGCACGTTCGAAATAAAATTGAGGGGACTCTTCTAACAAAGGCCAACGCGTAGCGCGTGCGATGAGATAGCAATAAACTTGACCTTCTCAGGTAGCGAGCCTAGTAATAAAAAAATTGCTAATAATAAAAACAAAAACAACTTTATGGGTAAGACCATAGTGTCGTGTTTCTTTCGTCTGGGTAACTACCTGTTTCTCTAAGGGACGCTAGTATACTTCGTTTGTGACTGGATGTTATTTCCTTATTCGTGACAAATTACCGTGTTCAGTTGTAGTGACCCTTTGCGCTCCTGTACGTGTTAATTATTGACTGTTTACACATTACTTTAATAAAATAAAAAGTAAATGATTTGTCTTTCAAACTGGCCACAATTTAAAACTATTTCCAAAATTTTTGGTTTTGTCATCAAAAATCATTAAAGCTTGATAAAAAAATAATAGTCGCATAAAAAATAATAGTCTCACTTCGTCTAAGACAAGTTGGGTTCAAATGGTTCTGAATAGTCTATACTAGCTCCGCTTTACGGCCTTAAATCGACCTTTCCAAACATCCTGTACATTTTGCCTCCTGTACCCCGCACACCCTTCCACGCCTCCGCTAAGTCCTCAGATCGTCCAATAACGAACGCACACTGTTTACAAGATATATCTCACAGCGTGAAGGGCAACCGTGGGATATAATATTATATCTCGCGATATAATATATATTATATCCCATAGTGAAAAACCAGCTTTATAACTTCGGGCCCCAAGGCATGTGCCTAGTTTGATTTAATGACTTGTATAATACGTCACTATTGCTGGAATAACAACAATATGCAGATCGGATCTGCACGATATTCGCGAATAATATGGTATAAATCGTATCGAAAAAAATAGTTAATTGCGGAATCGTTTGAAATATTTGTAATCTCAAGTAAAAACTTGTCAGTTTTTTACGCCGCGAAAAAAGTAGAAAAATACGCTTTCCTTGTAAGATATTGATCTGAGAATATTGAAACCACTGCGAATCGTTTGCAAATTAATTATCGATTCTGTAAATATTACCTTTATTGTGTTATTTGCTATAGATACTTAGTAATAAATTAATTATTTTTTCGTCAACTACTTTACACCAATTTGGGCGGTTCGTGTACCATATTGTATAAATAGTATCGAAAAAAAATAGATAATTGCGGAATTGTTACAAAAAATTTGTAATCTCAAGTAAAAAAATTGTCAGTTTATAACTTTATTTATAAAAAATCAAAAACTTTTTACGCCGCGAGAAAGTAGAAAAATAAGTTTTTCTTGTAAAAATATTGATCTGAGAACATAGAAATTGAGTAGATTCCGCAATTATCTAATTTTTTTCCGATACGATTTATACAAATTATTCACGAACATCGTGCAGCTGCAGATCGGTCGATTGACTAATCCGAGTCTGTATCAGAGTTGCCATTGTCACCGAGCGATGCTGTCATGAAGGTTAGAGAACAGGAGAACGATCACTACGTACTAAAGCATAGCCCGCCTGTCCTTGAAAATTGTATAATTTATAGCGGCGCTAACGTCTGTGAGTAGTGACTGCGAAGTTAGCTCTTTATGAGTACAAGTAGATGAAGTTACTTGAATAATGTACAAATTTTCTCCGCGGCATCGGTGAGAAAATTTTCATACTCCGTAATTTTGTAATTTTTGATAAAAAGGAAACATTAAAAATTGGAGAAATATTTTCTTGTGCGTGGATGTGCAAGTAGTTTAGCATCTGATCAGAAAAATGGACTGAAAATGACTTTTATTGACGGAACTTAGCGATCGCAGCGCCTCACGTGTGGTGTCCATATTTCTGGGACACTATTTACTACGGCGATCGTTCTCCTGTTCTCTAACCTTCATAGATGCTATTATAATGTATCTATATGTACCGTAGATAGAGAATGTACCTATGTGATAATGTTTTTTTATTGATTTAATTGTAATGTGTCATTTCGTAGTGACAAACGTTTGTTTTTGTGTGCGCATAATTTCGGTCGGAAAGAAATGACCGTTAGTACTCTTATTAATTTGTGGAAATGACGTACAGTATACAGTTCTGTATCATGAAAAAACGCTATAGCTAATCTTCTCCAGTCCGCCGATGGCCCGTTTTACTCTATGGCAAACCCCAAAGCAAACCAAAGAGTACATAATCAACAAATTTGCAACTATAATGTAATGATTATGTTCTCTTAGTAGCAAACAATCTATGATCTGGCACGACACGAGGTAGGTACTTCTTTTGTTATGATTTAATGAATTTTAGGTATTACCTTCGAAAATACCCTTAAATATGTTTTAAAATTAAAGTAAAACTAAATTATTTAAAGTATTTCGTCGTGTTCATATTACGTACGTACAAATCAAGATAATTTTAAAATATTGTGACAGCATCGGGTGCATGCCTTTTAAATTCTTTTCAATTCTAATAGAATTTCACGTGAACATTTTTCATAATATTTGCACTAAAAGTAGATATTTTTTCAGTGTCTAAATACTCAAATATGATGTGAATGCTGTTCTATGGGGAATTATTTCGTTCCGAATAGTAGGTATGTGTCAATCATCTGTTAAATTTGTTTTGGGACTCAAAATTACATGTTTTTCTAACTTGGTAACAAATTATCAACATGTTCTAAAAATTATGTGTATGACAAAAGTATTTAACAAATTATGTAGTTAAATCAAGGTTAACCATTTTACAGCAGACAAAAGCTACAATGAATATTGGAGCAGTAACTGGAGATGTAACTGAGGAGGTGACGCTCATTGCTGATGAATTAAGTCGGGCTGTCGAGCTCACACTCAATCCTGCTGTATCACATGATGCTCGAAACCAAGCCTACAATGCGTGTGAAAGGTATCATTTATTTTATAGTTACAGTATCTCAATAATATGCAATCTGTAATAACTGATATTGTAACTGTCATCGTAATTATATTGAAAGGATAGTAGTTAATTTAATTCTTAATTCAATCTGTAAGAAGCTGGGAAACTGAAAAGTAGCGAACAACAGAAAGTCTGTTACAGATCTTTAAAACTAATAAAAAATGATAAGTATGTCACCCATACCTATATAATTTATGTTGTAATCATTTTATTTATACATCTGTTTATTTAATAAAATGCTATTATTCCTGGTTTTCAAAGGATCCGGATATCAAAGATAAATGGATACTTATCCTTAACTTTTATTATATCTCCTTTTCTCTAATCATAAAGCGTCTAAAAGCTAAAGCTAAGTCTAAAAGTGTCTATTACTGAGACATTTTCAGTTAATTAGTTATATGTTGGTGTGAGACTTCTGGACGATCAACAACGCTTAATAGAAAGTTATTGAAACATGCATTGCACTGCACAGTACCAGGCACTATGCCCAAGTGAGAATGATCGTGCAATGTCATTCTCTGTTTTTCGCACATGTTAATTATTAGACTGAGTGGCTACGCCTCCTGAGATTTTGTGTTTTTATAAAATATTCCTTAACAAAATAGTTTATAAGTTTAATCTTTGTTGCATGAATGCTAGATACATGTGTAGTGGTAATTGTGTATTTATTGTTTGTCTATGTGTGAGAGCTGCAAACCGGCGACACGCGTCCTATTTCTATTGCCTTATTATTTAGACTTCTGTGGTTGGTGGTGGTTTGGTGGTTCGCAGGAGATTGCTAGTGTTATTATTGGCTGGAGTGCGTCGATTTCTCTTTGATTCTGTGGTCCTATCTTTCATTGCTGATTATTTTCACTTAATTTTAAATTAATGTAGTTTAAAATGCAGGGACTGTACACGTTAGCACCTTATGGCGGTCCGAGGAGAAGAGTATAAGCATAGATACATGTAGAAATATAAAAAAGCTAACATCCTAATCAAACAATATTTTCATTAAAAAGCAGCTCAATTCTATTGCGATAATTTACCAGCATATTTACTTCGACTAGAGGCCGCACTATTTTCGCTTTATAAAGCTTCTAACGAAAATTATCAGTATGGTTATTTGTTTTTACAATTAATATGAATTTAAAGTATCTAAACAAAATATTACTTTCAAATGATTAAATATTAGTAGTCCTTATCGAAAACATAATATTTTTGCACGTTTTCACAATACAGTACAGCATTGTGGACGTGTATTAATTAGATCGACAAAACTAAGACAGGCGTGTGATTGGAACTCTTTTTGCATTTTAGCACTTTTTCCCCAGGAACTATAACTAAATGGACCCGAGGTCCATTTAGTTATAGTTCAATGATTTACATTAATAAAGCATATATTTGTTATATGATGGATTCCACTAACATGAAAAATCAATATACACATTCCTTGCAACCTTGCAGCTTTAAAGAGAACTCTCCATGGTGTGCTCAAGCAGGATTGCTTCTGGCTAGCGGTAATCAATACTCAGCAGTTGTGAAGCATTTTGGTCTACAGTTGATGGAACACACTGTCAAGTACAGATGGACACAAATAACACAGGCTGAGAAAATATTTATTAAGGTAAACAAAAGTAGTTTTGACCATTTTATCAAGTTGCTATACAGCCATGGCATCACAATATTAGCCATTTAGTGTCTATACTGTTACCATTACATCCTTTTAAACGTCCATTAGCCTTAGTTACCATGCTTGGCAGATGGGTTGGGTTGCTGGCGATGCTGCTGCCCTGGTTTGCTTCCCTCTGACTCAGACAGCCCTGGGATGATATAGGCTAGTAGGTTTGACAAGATTTTATATAATTATATACAATATAGAGGCTAAATATATATATATATATATATATATATATATATATATATATATTAATTTCTAGTTCCATTTAGTTTTGAGCTTTGATTTTTTTTAAACTTCCGTAAGAAATGAACATGCAGCCCACCTGTTTGTGTCCTGCAGCTCACGAATATCTGCAACCAAACTCAAGCAAAGAAGGCTACAGATCTGTTATCACCTTTGAAGATTAAAGCCTGGCGTCGACTACAGTAGAAACGCGTCGAATCGAAGCGAGTCGCATTTATTCTTAGTGCGTCCATCTCTGAAGAATCGAATCGAGTCGCTCATTCATCGCAAACTCTTCATCAAATTAGGTCGTTTTTGTACGGCGTGCTCCCAAATACGGGATACACGACATTTATATGAAAAGAAATAACTATTGCGAATTTCATAATTTATATCCACATTTGAAAAATATTCCTCTTAAATTTTTCAATATTTTGGTTTGTCCCACGAAAAAATTCTTTATTCATTTTTATTTAAAAAAAAAAAGATTTTTATGAAAACTAAATAGAAATTAATAAAAATAAGTTGGCGTGCATCCACTTCTCCGCGTCGATTGAGGCGCGCCGAATCGAATCGAATCTCATCGGCGAAAAAATTCGTCTGTCAGCAATACGCGCGGTCGATTCAATTCGGCGCGCCGCGGCTCGTTGCTATGGACGCAGTTTCTTAGTAAATATATAGGAGGCGACTTTCTGCGATTCGATTCGACTCTGCTCGGCGAGCCTAGTGGACGAGGACCTTAAGATGGAATGCCTCACGGCGCTGTAATGATACTAGCTCTCTCTACCCTTCAAGGCGGAACACAGCAGTGCAGACACTATTGGGCGTCAAAAATAGAACTCCTAGGCAGAAAGAGTCCTTAAAATGTTAAATCTCACACAAGAATCTATATGTGTTAGAGCCATGCTGCACTTATATTAGTATGTAGTATAGTTGTAACACGAATGGGTCAGCTCGACCAGGGAGGGACCACACTCACAGAATACCTGTGTCAAATAGTATCTTAATGCTGATTCATTTCGTATGGTGAGTGTAGATAACCGGAGACCCTTTTTACTAGAAACGAGGCATTCCATCTTAGTCCTCATGGGTGACAATGCATCTGCATTAGGATTCGTAATCGAGGATAGATGTAGACGTCTATGGACCATAGCAACCACTTAGCATCAGGTGGACTGTGTGCTCGTTTGTCACCTTATCCTGTATATAAAAGTAAATATTGCATGTAATTTAGTTCTGTGGTATATTTAATGTTATAAGTCTGGAGCTCATTGGGAAGTTAGTTTTTTTATAGAAGAGGAGGCAATTGAACATGTGGCTTGGCTTGCTATTTATATAATTAACTAACACCCATTTTGGTCCATGGCTGTGATAAGTGTTTGTCAAAGAAAATATCATAAAAACTTCTTAACAAGTTTGAAGCTAGTGTTTACTTTCAATGCAGGAGAGTGCTATGAAACTTCTGTACATGGGCGGATGGGAGACGGGGCACCTAAACGACGCACTAGCTCGGGTTATAGTAGAAATGATCAAGCGTGAGTGGCCACAGCAGTGGCCCACACTACTCGCAGAGCTTAGTGATGCATGCGCTCGTGGACATCTGCACACACAGATCGTGCTACATGTGTTTTTGCGTCTTGTTGAAGATGTTGCCACATTACAGGTTTGTTAGGTTTTAATTTTTGTTAACATGTAGAAAATTTTCTTTTATCTCTTTCTCTCTCTCTTTATCTCTATCAATTATTTTCTCTCTCTCTCTCTCTCTCTCTCTATCTCTCTATCTGGTGTTGAATTTTTAAGTAGATAAAATAATTGGGTAATATGTTTTTTATTGCTACTTCACCTTTGGTACTAGGTGATCAGTATCATTATCAGCCTGTGAACACAGTGCTTATTACTTAAGAACACAATCTTGTAAAAACTAAAGCGTACTATACTTAATAAGCTTGGCGGATGGATTGGCTATCAACACACAGGCACGGTTCCAGGCACCCAGTTCCTTCTATAATTGTAATTGGCCATCTGCAGGATGCTTAATGCCGATTGTATACTTCTCGAGGCACGACGAGTGCGAGAGTATACATGCTACACTCGCTTAGTCTGCTCTCCGTTCCGAGTCGTTTTGTTGTCTCGATTACCCTCGCGAGGCGACGCGAGTGCGTCACTATACATTCTCAAATATCCGAACAAGTTTTTTGCTACGCCATTTATTTTGTAAATTTGTTTGCGCATAAGGTAATAGCTACCGTAACTTTTAACGAGTCCATCTTCTCAGCGATCGCAACCGTAATGAATACTTTTCACCCCTTGTCTTCTACTCGTCACTCGACTTCTTGCGCAAAGTCTAAAAAGGGTGCAGCTGGCATTAGATGCGTCATAAAACTTTTGACTTTTTAAAAGCATGCTGTAAATTATTATTTAATTTTAATTGATACAACTTTTAACAAAAATAAAATATAATATTTTTATACTTTTTTCGTAGTTATTTTTATATCTTTATAATTTAGACACTGGAACAGCATCAACGCCGCAAAGACATTTATCAAGCACTAACGAGTAACATGGCGGAGATATTCGCATTTTTCATGCGTCTGATCGAGCTCCATGTTCAAGAGTTTCGAGAGAAGACTGCCGCGGGGGACTATGGAGCAGCCGCTAGCAATGGACGTGTTGTACAGGTTATTATAACTTATAATCCGATTAAATGCTTGTATTATTAGAACATTCATATTTTAAATTTAAGTAAATCTGAAATTTATTTTTTTAATTATTTCTCCATAGTAAAAATATAAATTACTTCGCAACCTTCCGCTAACTAAATATGTACAATGATGCTATCTATACACGCCGATACAACCGCTTCCCACCAAAGTGGGTGGGAAGCGGTTGTATGGGCGTGTATAAATAGCAGCTATTTCGGCTCGCCGCTCACTTAGCAGTCAGCCGCCGTAGAGTCTACATCACCTGAGGATGCCTCGTGTAGAGGCGAAACACGTGTCGTATTATCGTCGATGGTGTATCTTACCTGGAATAGTGGTGTTGGAAGTAGTGGTGCGGGGTGGTGGGACTAGTGGTGACGGAGTTAGTGCATGCAATTGATGGAGGGCAGGAGGTGCTCTTCAATCCAGGTATGACACCATTGTATTTAGTTAGTGGAAGGTTGCAAAGTAATTTATGTTTTTATTATAATGGATTTCCGCAAAGTAACTCCTGATTTTATCAATTATATTATTTCTCCATTCCTGTACATTTCTGTTTAAAATTTATTTTTCTGTTCTACGAATGTGTAGCAAATAATAGTTCTTGATATATTGTTTTCATCTTTAATAAATCTCACGCAAGACAGCAACAAAGCTTCATTAGTTGGTAAAGTGATTCCTAGTAGTCTTCAGATGATTGCACAATGACTACAATGTTTGCAGTCATCAATTCGTCTTTGCGCAGAAATATTGCTGAAAGGAATATTTCTAATTTGTCTGCCGCCGGTTTATGGAGTATAGTAGTTATAACTTCTTTTATTGCCTGCAAAATTAACATTTCTCCGATGGTGTGTGGTTTACCTGTTTGAGCAATTAACAAAGAGATATTGTATGAAGCTCGAAGTCCGTCATCGTCTTACTTAGCAGCCACCGAAAAAAGTTTTGATACACTTTGCTAAGCAGTATGCTACTTTTCCAGGTCTTGAAAATAGGCTACATTTTTGTCTTTCTTATCTGGATGCATTTTATTCAAATGTACTTGAAATTTGAAGGACTCATCGCTTCGTTTGAAACTGTTTTTGAACAAAGAAGGCAAAATGGATTTGTTGAATTTTCTGTGAATCCATATATATTCTACACTAAATTGCCGTCTCTTTTTTTTTGCTTCCGACATGGCTTTGTTTTTACAAATATGTGAATAAAGTGTTTGATTACCACATTGTTTGTTACTTGTTATACAAATAACCTGTTTTATAATAAAAATAATATTTTCCAGGTCGTATTACTAACTCTGACGGGTTTCGTGGAGTGGGTATCAACAAATCACGTGGTAATGAATGATGGTCGCTTACTGCAGATATTATGCATTTTATTGCAAGATGATGTGTTCCAGTTGCCAGCTGCAGAATGTCTACTGCAAGTTGTCAATAGGAAAGGCTCTGTAAGTTTAAAAAGTTCAATATTTATTTATAATAGCTACAGTATATATTTTTTGTTTTTCGCCCTGTTTTTTGTTTTTATGTTTGTCATTGACTCTTACATTCTTGAAATATTTTACTGATTTATGTCTCAATTTTAATACAATCGAGATATTACAAAAATATTTTATGTTGTATTCTCATCTGTAACATATGCTTAAATTCTTTTACTTATGCTGATAGAATTTGAAACATACTTTTATTAAAATAATAATGATTATATATTTAGACCATAACCGACACATGCACTTAACTAATTCTTGATTATATAGAAGAGAATTTTCAACCAAGAAAAAAAAAGTAAGAAAAACATTACTTGAAGAGGTGTATAATACCTATATATTATATTTAATATAAAGATTTTTTCTTTTTTTTTAAGAAAAGAAAATCTTGTGAATAAAAGTTCATCAATTACAATGGCAACAAGAAATCAAAGTCATACAGAAGTAGTCTTGAAACTTGACTAGGTGTAATATATCTCACTAGCTAACCTGCTACACTTTACCACTGGGGGTTGTGCGTGAATGAATTTCAAATGCATGTATTAACATCGCTATACATACCGTTATTGCAGTGTTTGAAAATTCGAGTAAATAAGTCTTTTACTTATTTACTCGAATTTAAAATTACCTAAATTGAATGTGATTTATGGGCAATAACGATTTTGCCTACCGATCGAGCCTTACAAATGTTAGCATGCACAGTAAAATCTGTTAAAATAATCCATTACCACGCATTTTAAATTTAAAAGATAAAAAGGACAGGATGATGAAGATGTTTTTTGTGAAAAAATTTTTCTTCATCATTTGCTTATATTACTTATTCTACACTTTCTCTGCAAACTTGATTGGTTATTGCCAAAAGATTACTAATGACAAAATTCACAAAAATAGCTGTACACTATAGTCTTTGCGTTATAGCATTGTGCGGGTGACAGCTTACAGTTTGGCGTGTCTAGAGATGGAACAATGTTAAATCGATTTAAAAAGGCGATTAACGATACACAAAGCAAAGCAAAAATTATCGATTAGCTATCGATATAAAAATTAAGACCATAACATATTTTTTATAAACTACAATGTACATGCATTGTATATGCATATTAAGTTAAAGTTTAATTCAAATTATGACATAAAAGTTACATAATATCTGTTCCCGCGACCTCGTCCGCGTAGTATTTATTACGATTGGATTTCATGAGTTATTTAATTTTTTGCGCGGAATCCTTATTCTTTTTCTAAAATAAATGTAGCCTGTGTTACTCCTTATAGCATCAGCTGTCTGCCAGTTCCAGCTATAAACCGAGACAAAAAGACAGACAGACGAACATTTTAAAAATTGATTTTTTTTTTTGTTATAAATATCGTATAATATACCTTTATATGCATTTAGTAAACGGCTGTTATTTTGATATTACAAACAGACACTTCAATGTACAGATTATACTATATATCAATTTTAAAATAAAAATCTTCTATTTCATGTTGATTGCAACATTCATATTGACATTATAATAAAAAAATGGCTGCCAGCAACTGTAATTTTCAGTACGGCGTTGACTGTACCGGCAGTTTTTCATGATACGAGTGTTAACGCCTTTCGCTATATGTGTATAAGTGTTGCCAGATCCAATGGCCCAAATATCGGGACGGAAGGTAAAAAAGATCGAGAATTTAGTTTACAAATGTAATTAAATAAAAAATAGGTTTTTTGTTACCATTTTGGCTGCCATGAGTTATGATAAAGTATTTTTGAAACAATGGGCAATTTGCTTTTTTTTTGCCTGAGGTGACCAGCAAATAATTTATCGTCCATGCATCGGAAACACTATATTCGTCCATGTGCATTTATTTCCCGTAAATCAGAATTTGTTAAACGATTAGTTCCAATTCTAATTCATATTTACATGATTTTTATGTATTCATTTCAAAATCTATTTTTGATAGTCTGTGGTTGATCGTTATGACATTGCATAGTTTAACGCGGCACGTCACTATCGTAAGTATGCGGTACCCATCCATAAAGTACAACAATATCTGTGTGACAATTTTATATAAAAAAATACGAAACTTCATAGGCATGAGGTGTCATTCGCACCATGCTACAACGCACATTTAGTTTAGTTGTTTTATCCAGTTTATATTTATTAGTTGGGCGGCGGGCCTAAGGGTTCCCGAATTCGATTCCCAGGTTGAGCCTTGACCCTATTATGCGAGATGTTATACGCGGCACCTTAGACAATGCACTCGCTCTTCCAAATCTATTGCTTGCCAAAGTTAGGAGGGGATTCTACTTGAGCACATTAGGAGAAATAAAATGGGGCGGGTTAACTAATAAACAAAATGCTCAAGTAGGAACAAAATTACGGGAAAACACTTATCGGGGTGTGATTCTGGTGCGGCGGACGACGCTTCCGTTGCGGTGATGTGACGTGAGGTGGGTTCTTCTGGGGCGCCCCAGAGATGCGATCCAGGCCAGTGGTGCGAAGGAAGAGAGCGGTGCGCGACAATTTCTCACACTATGTGAGGCGGTTACTTCTGGAGCGCGACTGCTTCAGGTGATGCGGTTCAGACTAGCGGCGCATGGCAAGAGGACGCTCGAGGGCAGCGCGCGAGCCTTTATTGCCTCGGCTTTCCCACCAAGCACCTCGGTCGGGCGCGCTTCTCATTGGTCGAAAGAATCGCGTCACCTTCTAGACTCCTGCCTTTCCCCTTTCAGTGTTTACGGAAGGGATATTAGGTCAATGGATGGGTAAACTCTTGGTAATACCCTCGAATAAAATAAAAAATACAAGAATCGTTTCCGCGTAACCATTTATTATGTTCAAACAAACTTAAAATTTAGCAATTTGGGACCTTATTTATTGATGTGTGTTATATTGATTTCAGACTAAGGAGCGTAAACCGTTAATGATATTATTTAGTGAAGATGCAGTTACATGCATCCACCGTGCAGCGCTCGCTAGTATCGCCACTGTGGATGAGAAACAGTACTTGTTCCTGAAGAAACTCTCACAGGTGAGACAATAAATAATCCGCCTATAAGTTAAAATGACCATTATAATCGCGCCTTTTCCATATTGCTTTTTAAGTACTCTGTTTAAGATCTACTAGATCTTATTGAATTCATTTTATTATAATTGTACAACATATATTATGGAAATTGTAATTTTGCATTTAAAAAATAAAAAAGAACAATGTTTGAGGTTTATTTTTAATTAATTTTTCTTTACCATTTGCCTATATTACTTATTTTTAACCTTTACTGCAAATTTGACCGGTTATTGCAAAATAACCATTATCCACATTTTACTCTTGGGTCAATGTATGTAAAACAAACAAACTAAATTATATGTGGAGTTCCTCCGAAAGAACAATTTATTTACTCGTCCTATGGAACAGACAAAACTTCAAGATATAAGTAAATACCAAGACCAAGAAACGAGGCATTCTTTCTGTCTTCAGTGGTAGCAGCGTTTCTGCGTTTTGATTCTTAATTGAGAATAGATACCTGTTAGATGTAACTATTATACCAAGTTTTTGAATTCCAATAATGTAATATCAATAGATAAATGATATTGGACTGTATATATGTACACATAAGCACACACATACATACACATATACACACGCATACATACACATATACACATACTACACATGTACACATACTATACATAATGTTGGATGATGTCAAATGAGAAGAGAGACGTGTTGTTCTGCTAGATCTATAATTATACTACTGTCAATTCTTAACTTAAAGCCCGGTTTACATTTTAAGAAGTGACAAGTGCGAGTGACAATGACAAGTGACAAATGACAAGTGCTTAGTGCGTGTGAACAGGCAGTGACAAGTGCGAGTGACAAGTGATAAGTATGAAATGAAAAGTAACAAGTGAATAGCGGCCTGCTCTATTCTCTGACAAGTATCTCTGCCCCGCTAACCTTGCTTTCCCCTCAGTCACCCACCGCCGCCCCCGTTCTAGCGGTGACGTTAGAACATACACGTGTTGGTTATAATAGTTATTAAATAAAATATTTTTGTTATATATATTGTATACATACTCATATTTATAATAATTTTGTTTTATTACGAAGTGGTCAGATAGCAATAACATTATATGTGTCAAGGAATTATTGAAACACGAATGTTTATACAATATTAAATCGCTGAATTAAAAAAAAACGAAGATTTCACATAATAATGACATCCAATTGCCACATGTGTGAACACCAACTTGCTACTTGTCACTTGTCATTGCCGCTCGCACTTGTCACTTGTCATTGCCGCTCGCACTTGTCACTTCTCAAAATGTAAACCGGGCTTTACTCTAATATATAATTATGTCACATGGGCCACAACACTACACTACATCTCCCACCAACAAAATTAAAAATAAATCAATACTTATGTTTTTTTTATATATAATTGATTTATATACAACAATACAATTCAATTAGATATAAACAATTAATACAGTATAATAATTGAACAACATTGTAAATTATTATTAAAAATGTTCCCACTGGGTTTCTTGCCGGTATTCTTAAGACTGGTTTTGTTAATCAGCGGTAAAAACATACATCATTTTAAAATAAGTATTACATATTATCTATATTGAATAAAAGTTATTCTTTTGTATAATAACCTGTATTATGAGTGCAGAATTGAATGTAGTATTAAAGGCGGAACTGAAAACTAGTAGAAGACAGTGATTCAATGTTGCTGAAATATTGGCTCTGACTGGTATAGAACCAGCAATCCAAAGCCAAGCCAAAGAAACAGTTTGGTACCCTGTTTACTAACTGAATCATCATCAGTCAGCACTTTCCAAAGCTAGATGAGCACAATTATACTGGGCGGGTAGATCAGATCTTTGTCTGTAGGATTTATGCAATTTAGTAGGTTGTTTTAGGCAGACAAAGTAAATCGTGAAGTAGACTTGTGCTAAATACCGAGTGCTGCACATACTATAACAGAATTCTATGTATAATTATACTACCAGTTCAATCATTTGATTATAATTATTGAAATTATGCTTAGCTTCTTATATGAAAAAAGATCTAGAACAATGGTTTTTATTTCTTTACTAAAAATAAAAGTTAACCATTGCAGGTTTTAGCAGGCTTAGCACAACAACTAACTACATTATGGAGCAATGCCACAAATGTTGACGCTTGGCTGCCTGTGCTGTTGGAGACTATGCTGCTACTTACTTCTCATCCATCGCTCACCCTGGCCCACACCGCTAATTCGGTCTGGTTAGCCTTTTTGAAACATGACCAGATATCCAAATTGCCACATATATTGGCAGTAGTACCCAGATGGCTACAGGCTGCTGCTCCTAAAGTTTTGAAGGTAAATCGTTTTATTTTTAGTTCTCTTTGAAATATTTTCTTTCAGACACATGTAATGATGCTAGCTTGGTAAACCTTTAAAATCCTTGAAGTAAATAATGATTATAATATAATGTGGTCCCTGGAATGGTCGGATAGACCGAGTAAGGACCAAACTCTTACATAATACCAGTGTAAAATAGCAGCTCAATGCTACAGTGTTTCGTATGCTGAGTGTAAAGAAAGGGGAACCATTTTTACTGGGAAAATGAGTCATTCAATCTTAGTCCTCTAGGGTGACAACGCATCTGCATTTTGATTCTTAAGTGAGGATAGATGTAAACGTTTATGGACCACAGCATCCACATACCATAAAGTGGACTGTGTGCTCGTTTGTCACCTTTATTCTATAAAAAGCTCTTGCTCATATAACCAGTTATTGTTAACTTTGTGAAGGATATTAGAGTAATTATTTATTATTAGAGTAATTATTAAATGTTATTTTTCCTCATAAAGTATGTTTTGATAAATATATATATATATATATATATATATATATATATATATATATATATATATATATATATATATCCTCTATAAATATAAATAGAGTAATTATCTATAAATGTGAGTTCCTGTTTGAAGGTTGTGAGAGCTACTATCACTATAATTGTAGATGTAATAGGCTTTGAGGTATTTCACCTTAGTCCTCAAATGTGATAAGTGAAGTTGACTACATATGTCCATAGGCTGCAGCAACCACTTACTATCAGGTGGATCTTATTGTCACTCTCATATCTAAACATGATTTACAACATCAAAAAACTAATTTGTTTTCAGGTGTCATACCCATCGTCTCGCAATAACAATGTATCTGACGCTGTCGCATACGCCTGTATGGACTACGATAGTGAACAGGAGTTTGCAATATTCTTCAGCCGCAGTCGGACAGAAATATTAGATAGCTTCAGGTTTGTTTACAATATCAAAAAACCAATCGACCTTATACTTTCCTCTAATTTATTTCCTACTTGATACGACATTTGAATATCTTCTAGAAAAGCTTGGTTTTAAGGTCGTTGCGTTAGGTTTACTGCCCTAAGTTTACTTTTGTACTTATATTTCTTAATTTTAGTGTTTTTTGAAATATACAATATAGACCTTTTTATCTATACTTTGTACAGAATAATAATTTTAATGTCACATTAGGTATTGCATGATGGCTGCGCCGTTAGTGACGTGGGCATATGTAGAGCAGTGGACACAGGCGGCTTTGGACAAAGTGGACTCCTGCCCACCAAATATAGAAGCTTCCCACCCGCTCCACGTGGAATGGGAGGCGCTATCTCAGGTATGTCGTTAGTTTTATCATTAAATGGCTGGATGACTATTAGTCTAATGTGTAAACATTAAATAATTTCAATTATATATATATATTTAAATATATATACAATATGTAACGTGATTAACGCTACACCCCAATTAGTATATTATGTTATAATCATAATACATACACATTACTACATATATGTAACATAAAAATACATGCATATTTTAAAATTCATTTTTATGCACTGATTATTTATTAAATTGGTTATACTAATTCCGGTAAAATGTTGTGGTCACAGTACAAATCCACGAACGCAGACTTTAACGTGCTTGAAATAAAGTTCATTTTTCTTTATTTTTATGGAATGACAGAATTAGTAATAATACAAATAAAACTGCACTCTTAAAAGTCTTATTGCCTTAAGTTACGGTCCATTTCAGTTTGTTTTGACTGTATAGATTTAGTAGGACTGTAATTTACACAGTTTTAATTATTTTTGGGATAAATAATTACCTATATTAAAAATGATAGGAATCGATTCAGTAAACGATTCTGAACAAACTAGTTTCTCAAAGTGTTAATTATGTTACATGTTGTATATATATATAATATATTTTTTTTTTTTTTTTTTTTTTTTTTTTACATTTCCAACCATTATATATTTGGTTATTATCCCAGTCCCTTCTCAATTTTGGAACCAGTGATAGTTTTTGACATTAATAAGAATTAAATAATCCTAAATTGAATAAATTCTTTTTGAAAAATGACTTCATATTAGTCGAGAGTATTTCGCTATTACGACGCGGGTATACCCACCACGGCTAACAATTCGTCGCTAATCGTATTTTTAGTAAAATGAGGTTCATCGCCCCTTTGCAGCGTTAACGACGAATTGTGTGAAAATAAATGTGGGTTTGGCTCTGATTGTATTGTTATTCTCGCTCTTTCTCTAACACTGCATTCTAGCTTACTTTTGTCCTTTTTATATTGAAGCAGTACATTAGACAAAAAAAGATATATATTTATTTTAGATAATTCTTTTATTCATTTTTAAATAGGAAATAAAAAAATACGTGTGGCACTCGGGGACTGCCGCGGTAAAGCATAGCATTTTTATCAACTTGTGCAATTATAATTATTTATTTATCTATGCTGTATTTTTTTCTTTGATTTCGTGACTTTCTTCATTAATAAATGTACTTTGTTTATTCATATTCAAAACACTTTATACACAAATTTTACGCGTACGGCTGTTTACTGTTGTACATAAATGATAGACACCTATACACCTATATACTTTCTCACAAACAGCTGCTTACGTATTCGTCCGATTTCGAAGCAGCTCGTCTCGATCCGTGAGAGCTTCGTACAGTCGAACCATATACATACACGTTAAGGTTCAACTAGTCGATAGCTCGAACTCACTCGTGGACGCGGCCAAAAAGCACGTGTCTAAAAGAGATATAAACACTTATGAGCAGTTAGAGATAGTCCGATACGTGTAGCACACAAAAACTATCATCGAGCACACTATCCACCTGATGGTAAGTAGTATCTCTCAAGTTGGACCAAACTGCACACGATGTGCAAATGTGATTAAAATCAGTTTAGCAGTTTAGGAATCCATCGCGGACAAACAGCGTGACATGTAATTTATATATATTACTAGCTTGCCAGGCAGACGTTGTTCTGCCGTTTTTGAACGCCCCTTAGTCATGTGCCATTAAAAATCCTTAAATTCGCAAAAAAATTGTGGGTTACTCATGGGCAAAACTATCCTATTTTTCAAATTGGACAAAACTGTACACGGTGTGCAAATTTGATTAAAATCGGTTAAGTAGTTTAGAAGTCCATCACGAACAAACAACGTGACACGTAATTTATATACATATATATTAAGATTATATTATATTAAAAATCCCTTCACTGCTGTCCGTATAAGGAAGCTCAAGGTCAGCGAGCTATGGAGAGGGCTATGCTCGAGGTTTCTCTGCATGATAAACTTAGAAATGAAGATATCCGCAGCAGAACCAGAGTGACCGACATAGCCCAACAGATTAGAAAGCTGAAGTGGCAATGGGCCGCCCATATAGCTCGAAGAACCTACAACTGATGGAGAAAAAAGGTTCTTGAGTGGCAGTCTCGTAGGGGTAGCCGAAGTGTAAGGCGACCCCCCCCCCCACTAGATGGAGTGACGACCTGGAAGGACATGCAGGAAGTCGATGGATGCAGTTGGCTAAGGACCGTGTTTTGTGGCATTCCTTGGCCTTCCCCAAGTTTCTATGTTCAGCAGTGGACTTGTAAAGGGTTGTAATGAATGAAAAAACACTAAATCTTTTTCACCAACGCTGAAGTTATGCGGACTATGATGATTTGTTCGATAAAAATATCGACATAGTCGTACATTGCTTACGCATGTAGACAGACCACTGTATCGACGCGTGTACAATTAGATGGTATGCCTAAATGCAATGAACATAAACACAAATGTAGTGAGCGTGTATAGTGACGCGATTCAATTTTGCATTTGTAGTGAAGTATTCAGTAGTGTGTTATCCTCGCCTCCCCCTGAAAGTGACAGATGTTTTGTTTAACTTACTAACTTTTTTTGATTAATATTCAAAGAAAAAAGTTAGCGCTAGCTTGTTTTAAGTTTTAATTGGTGTTCGGAATTTATAGTGTCAATTTTGGTAATTCAATCGGCGGTTTTTATTGTCACGAACCCTAAGCTCGTAACAGTTATATGATGTATGTATGATTACTTTTTATTGGAAATTGATCATATGAACTTCAAATAAACATTTGTTTGTAATTAACATAAATAAAATTACAATCAAATAAAATTTAAACATAATTTGATAATCAGTCTACATTTGATACAACCTTAAAATAGAGCTTCTAACTTCTTAACGCTTCAATATCAGTAGTAGTATATTATGATTTATCGTGTCAAAAGCCGAACTTAAGTATAAAAATAGACCTCCTACCTTATATTACTGGCTAGCGAGCGAGAAGACGTAAATAGTGTACCTCTGTGTTCGAAAAATCATACTACTGTTAAAAGTGACGTTTACCAAAACATAACTTTATTGGAAAAAAGTGCCTTAACACCATCTAGTTTACTGTGTACAATATAATATTCTCAAATTATTAAGTGTTTGACCATAAAAACGTTAAAAAAGTGTTCATTGCAAACCCGGTTTATCCAATATCACCCTCACCCGGAAAAAGTTAGAAGTGTTCTATTCGTGTGTGTTGTTAGCCAACCCACATTATAGCTAACTATTCAAAAATCATTCATCGACAGTTGTTTGCGATTATTAAATTCGCCTACTTACGTGTAAGCTTAGTTGGCGCAGCGGTTTGAGTAGCTGCGCTCTTGCTACGCATACGAAGTCCCTGCTTCTAATCCACGCAGGGGACGGAACTGATCTTATCGTTGTAGCGGAAAAATAGTTTTGTTTATTTAGTATAAAAAGAGAAAAAAAATAACCATATAAGCAAAATGAGTACGCAAAGAACACCGCCGTGTACAATATCTCAAAAAACTGAAAGTGACAGTGACGGTTAAATTTTTTTATGATTTTCAATGGGCTTCTAAAAAAAAAAAAAAAAGAAATTTTTGTGTATAGCTTAAGCTATGTTCTGGTGATAAACTTCATTTTTATTTTCGTATAATCCCAGTTCTAATAATCTTGAGATTCAATGCATGCCGGAAAAGAAAAATGAAAGTTTAGTTGAATTAGTAACTCGGTTGGGCTCTATAATTAATTATAAAATATCCGAACAGAACATCCTCCACTGTGCACGTATTGCGAAAGTGAATCGCGAAAGCATTTGACCTCGTTCAATAGTCGTTCAGCTCGACTCCACTCGCGTACCCTAGATCACATTTTGGCAGCAACAATAACTTTCAACAAGAGCAATCCTCAAAATAAATTGAATAGCACTCATTTCGGAATACCTGGAGCAAGAACGCCAATTTTTGTCTCAGAACATCTCTCACCTGCAAACAAGGCCTTACACGCTGCTACAAGGAAAAAAGCAAACGAGAAAGGCTTCAAGTACGTCTGGGTCAGGAATGGAAAAATTTTTGTCTGAAAAAACGATACAGCTTGTTATATTGTTATTAAAAATATGGACACCTTATCTAAATTAGAATAGTTAAATAGGTACTAAGTTAAATTTTATTTATTTTGTGTGCATGCATTGGTTTTTTTTTCATTCGTAGAGTTTCAATTAAATATTTATTATCAGAATACTCGTGGATTGCGAACTAAAACGCATAATTTTTACCGTAATCTGTGCTGTAGCAAATATGATTTAATTATTTTAATGGAGACATGGCTAGATAGGAGTGTATTCAGTACTGAACTTTTTGATGATAGATACACAGTTTTTCGCAGGGACATGGAAACCACTGGTTTTCACTATGATAAGAGGGGAGGTGGTGTGCTGATTGCTGTTGCCAAAAAATTTAATGCTAGACGCATAACTGAGTGGGAAAGTACATGCGAGGATTTGTGGGTCAAAATTAGCATAGACTCAAACCCCAACTATAATATCGCACTTTGCGCAGTATACCTACCACCCCCTGTTAATCATGTTATTCTAAACAGATTTACTGAAAATTGTAATAAAATTTTAGAGTACGTAGAAAGTAATGTATATCCAATGATTGTAGGTGATTTTAATTTAAGCCAAATAGAATGGACTGAAATAAATAATACATCCTCTGCCACTCAATCAATACTATGTCAGACACTAATTGATTTTGCTTGTATGAATAACTTTAAACAGTACAATGAAATTCCGAATTGTAAGGGTAAAGTCATGGATCTAGTGTTTTTGGAGCAATCACATTTATTAGTTCAAGTAGACCGTGCAACTGATGTTTTGTCTGCAATCGATGTGCTGCATCCTCCCTTAGAAATACTTTTAAAATCAAAAAGTATTACAACTTAGCACAAAACTATAACTTCACTAGTCGAAACTTTTTTAGGGCTGACTATGAAATGATTAACCGAAAACTGGTTGAAATCGACTGGTCCCAAGTTTTTTTCGGAATAGAAAAGGTAGACGACATGGTAAAAATATTCTATGATAAACTTAATAAAATCATTAAAGAGTACGTTCCAATGGTAAAAAAACGAAACAAAAAATTCCGAAATGGTTTAGCTCTTGTTTGATCAAGGCATTGCATGAAAAGAATAAAATAAGACTTAGATACAAAAAACATAAAAATCCGTTAGATAAAATAGAATCGAATATTTGTAGAAAAAGATGTGAAAAACTATCGTTGGAAGCCTACAATTGCTATATAAAACGCACCGAAGAAAATATTGCCATTAATTCCAAATTCTTTTGGTCGTTTATCAAATCGAAACGTGGCAGTCTGAATTCATATCCAGCCGAGATGACAGATGGTTCTGTAACAACGTCTGATGGTCAACATATTTGTGATCTTTTTGCATCGCACTTCTCCTCTGTCTACAGTGAACAGTCTAACGAATCTGGTCAACAGTCACAACCGATCACATATTGCAATGATTTTTTCAGTTCCATTAACCTGACAGAAGAAATGATTTACCAAAGTTTGACCAAGCTGGATTACGTTGAAGGGAGCGGGATATGACGAGATTTCAGCCATTTTTTTGGTTAATTGTGCATCAAATTTAGTCACTCCACTACATTACATATTTAATTTTTCTCTCAAGTCTGGAGTTTTCCCCCGAAGTCTGGAAGGTGGCTAAAGTTGTGCCAATTTATAAATCTGGCGGTGAAAATATTATAGGAAACTACCGACCAATTTCAATCCTCCCTCAAATGGGTAAAGTCATGGAGTCATTGATTACTCCCCCTAATTCAAAATTATTTCAAACAATATTTAACAGACCAACAACACGGATTTACGCGGGGTAGATCGACATCGACAAATTTAGTGTGCTTCACCGAAGAGCTGATTAAGTCTATGGACAAGAACAAACAGATTGATGTTATTTACACGGATTTTAGCAAGGCGTTTGATAAGCATCCTTCTTTGTAAGCTTTCAGCCTTTGGTGTGCATGGCTCCTTATTGAAATGGTTCAGATCTTACCTAACTCACAGATCTTTTTTCGTTGTAGTTAATGGTTATTCATCTAAAATCCATAAAATATCATCAGGAGTGCCACAAGGCTCGACCTCGGTCCTGTTTTGTTTAACATCTTCGTCAATGATGTCTCTGTTAATCTTAATAATGTTAAGTCTTTTTTTATATGCTGACGACCTTAAAGTTTTGCGTGAAATCGATTCCATGGATGATGTGAATCTCCTGCAAGCAGACTTAGATAAGTTGACAAGGTGGTGTCACGAAAACAATATGGTCCTCAACGCGAAAAAGTGTACACATATAAAATTTACACGAAACAAAATATTTAAATTCTATAAATCAATGGTATAAAGAGTTGACAGTGTTCGTGATTTGGGCGTGCTGCTAGATAACAAAGCTTACATTTATAACACATTTCGACCATATTATAAAAAAAGCTTCCGGAATGCTCGGTTTCATTATACGCAATACAAAGATTTTCAAGACCGTTAAGCCCAAGATGATTCTTTATAACAGTTTTGTGCGTAGCATTATGGAATACTGCAGTGTTGTTTGGAGGCCCGGAGGTTTCGCCATACGTTACGCTTGGAAAGGGTTCAGAAAAGGTTTCTATGGCATGTAGCGTTCTCTGTAGATAAAGCTCGATCGTTTAAATCATACAAAAGTAGGCTTCTCACTTTTAAGTTATTACCACTTGAAGCAAGAAGTGACATTTCGGATTTGATGTTTGTATACAAGCTTTTCCGTAATAAGATAGACTGTCCTCCTTTGCTAAATTCCTTTTCCTTCAGAATACCTTCTCGGCTTCCGAGAAAGTCTATTCAGCCTATGAACCCACCAATGCGTAGGACTAAACTTGGTCATTTCTCTCCTGTTCCTAGATTGAGTAGACTTTACAATGAATGCAGCACATTGGTAGATCTTAATTTTGATTCTTCTGAACATTTTCGTAAACAGATCAGGGACTTTGTCACCAAAAAATATCTTCTGTAATTTATTAAAAAATAACTTAAAATAGGTTTAATGATTGTTCTTTCACATAGAGGTAACTTATCATTATTAAACGCATGATGTGTTCCCCTATAAGTAGTTATGCACTTAGCTTAAGACATGTTGGAACTTGTATTTTTTTATTCAAATGTATTGTGTTATAACTGTTGGAGAACCTAATAAATAAATAAATAAATAAATATTTATCATTGAGTCTGCGTACTACATCACTGACTGGCGTATTTATGGCATCTATAGTACCTACACACTTGATAACTAAATTGCCTCTCATTTAAGATGGAGTTTTGTCGCAAATGTGCCAGTCTTACCTTTGTTAGCTTTTCATACATTTTTATTAAATTCAGTGACAAGAAAATCGGTCTATAGTTTTTGGTGTCCATTGTACTTCCCTTTTTATGTTCCGGAAGTACTCGTACAACATTGAGATGATCAGGAAACAAAGTTTGTTGTTTTTTAAAAAAGACATTTGTTGATTGGATGAAGTGGTGCAGGTGCTGGATGTGGCGCTGTCGCGGCTGCTGCAGGCGGAGCCGCGGCCGTGCGTGGCGGCGGGGCTGCGCCTGCTGCAGCGCTGCGTGTGCTGCGAGCCGCGCGCGCCGCTGCTTCTCTCGCTGCTGCTCTCCTTTATCTCCGCGCTCTTCGTCTTCCTCAGCTGCGCCAGCAGCCAGCTGGCCGGTGAGCGCTCCGACTGATCAACAACCCTAATACCTCATCCACCATTGCCCATTCATATCCGGGCTTACATGATGAAAGATCTCTCTAATTCATTTTCAAAAGTAGATAATCAAACTATGTAATAATTACGTTCTCTTGCATGTATAATAAAAAAATAGTTTTATGAATAGAAGTCAACGGTTTGTAGATTTCATCCAGAAAACAACAAATCTGGAATCACAATACATCCTATCTATACAAATAATTAAAATTGAAGTACCTATTCGTTTGTAATGTCAAAAACAACTGTTTACTAAATGCATATAAAACTATATACGATATTTATAAAAAACAAATTTTAAAAACTATTACGCGACATGTGCACACTTTCATCTCATGTCTCTTCAGAAATAACCTATAACATGATATATGATATAACCTTGGAAGGTTATATCAACAAGAACCAAAATAGCACAAAGCTACGTTGACTGCCAGTAATTACTTAACGAACTTAATTAAAAAGTGCCCATAAAACACCTCGACACAAATCAATTTTTAACCCCCGACCGAAATGTTGTAAATTTTATAAGTTTGTAGTATATATCTGTGTATCTGTATGTCTCTGTGGCATCATAGCAGCTAAACGGAAGAACCTATTTTGATTAAGATTTTTTCGTTTGAAATATATCTTAATCGACAGTATTCTTAACCACATGTCAAGAATATCTATTCGGCCTTTTGAAGATTATCAGCTCTTTTTGTTTCGGGGGTTTATAAAAGTTTCAATTTAAATTATATCTATATCATTTTCTTCGTCCGAACTATAGATAAAACACATTTTTATGGCTATCTTATGGTGATAATAATATGGATTTGTTTTGCAGCAGTTCTATTAATACGTAAATTTTTGTTTAAAATTTCTTGAATGTACATAATTTCATTCTTATCCAATTTGTAATCATAATTATATATACTTAAAAGCTGCATTAAAATCTTACACAATACCGTCACTAATATGTGGAAAGTATTATTATCTCTTAGGTGAATTTTTCAAATTCATCTTGTTTACTGTTCTGTTAAAATTATTAAATAAAAATTTATTGTTTCTTACAATACTAGGTCCGGGCGTTGGTGTAGCTGGAGCTGATCTGCTGCTGCGTGTGTTGGACAAAATATTCGCGGCGCTGGTCTACGAAGGCTCACCGCAAGAGGACCGCCGATCACGCTCCGTTAAAAATGTGCGACGCCATGCGGCTGGCTTGCTCGTCAAACTTGGTTCAAAGGTTTGAAAATTAGTCTATTGATCTCCTAATATTTACTTAAAACATACTGTCACCATTAATCACTACTTATCAAAAGTCCATTACTTAACATAGGCCATAATTGCCATCCTTGCCATCAGTGGCGAAGCTAGAGCTCCAAGCTAGGACAAGCCCAAGATATAAATTGATAAAAATATAGATTGTTGTTTTTAGCAGTTTTATAAAAATACACCAATCTTGATCTGTCTCCACGCTTCAGTTTCATAATCAGTTCTGTCAAGGACGTGTTTAACAAAGCACACATAAGGCATACCACTGCTAGATAGATTGTATTACATATCAGCAATTGCATACCTTCGGTGGCTTTGAAGAAAGCTGTTTGGGTTTGTTTAAGCGAAAGAACAAAATATTTTCATCCAATACATTACATGAACAAAAGTAAAATATGAACAAAGTACAAACGAACTATTTGAATTACAAACTATTTAAAAACGAAATTAAAAAAAATTATTTACATTCTAATGGATAAGAGATAAGATAAGATAAGTGGAATCGTCTCGCTTTCTTATGGAAAGATTTATGATTAAAAATCTTTAAAAAAGCATAAATTTTGAACTCGTAATATTAAATCGCTTAAGATAAGCACACAGAGTAAATAAACATTAAAACGTGAAATGAACTTGCAAACGTATTGCCCGCGCGCCTCCGCTTTTAACAAATTTATTCCCAAAAGCATAGCTTTACATCTCCATACTAATTGTTATATATACAATCGTAGCTATGTTTCATTATAGAATATTTTGCCGTAGGTTAGAAAGAGAGCTATCGTCTTCTCGAAAGCCCCGTAAAAAGCCCACGCAAGCGAGGGAGACAAATAATCGCTCTATTAAAACTAATTTTTTATGACGGCAGCAGTATCGCTAAGGCAAAATAAGAGGTCATCGGTCGTCATGTGTCGAACAGTGGAGTGCGCGGGAAATTTGAAATAGCTTGAAACATTTTACGAGTTATTTTATTAGTTGATATTATTGATTGATTCAGTTTTAATAAGGCAAGCTCGGTTTTTCGGCTGTTATGGAAGCTTCGTCACTGCTTGCCATAGGCGGGCGGGTTGGTAAAGGCAGTTTTTTGTCTTTTGTTGCTGTTATTAAGTAAACACTGCTGCCCGACTCTTGATTTGTATCCCTCTGTCGTCTCTTAAGACAGCCATGCACGATATGGGACAGTTTATATTTTTACACTGTTGTTTAAGTTCAACTTAAAACATTATTATGTTTTTTAAAAGCAATATGAAATATTTGTGTTGGCTAATATGATGTGGCTATTCTTATATTATAGATATATAGAAAATTCTTTATTGCACTCAAAATAATGTCTGCAAAAGCGAATTTAGTGCAGAAAAGGCATACTTTAACCTTTGGTCGCCTGGTGAGCTATGAGTAGACTTGTAACCACAGTATAATAAAGACATACAGTAGGACGACTCCTTTGATCTCGTGGTAAATGCCGACAAAGTCAGAACAACGCATGGAGGCTAGGGTTGTCACAAATTAACAACTTTTACTAATTTCATTATTTATTTTAGATCTACATTGTTATCAACAGTCGTTGGTTGGTAAAAGTAACGTTGGTATAGCTGTTTTCTTCCCGTGCATACTCTTTTCGAAATGAAAATGTATGCATTCTTTAGACTTTCGAAAGTTCTTCCAACTAAATCAAGTCTTCCAATAACTTCCACCCATAATTTGCATCTGAAATTTTTAAAGACAATACCTATTAATAAATTTTCATAATTGTCACACCCAGAAACCTCAATATTAACATCAGCATCATATTATTTAAATAAATCTAGCATCTTGGGTTTCAAAATAGATTCTATTTTCGTAATCGGCACCTTATGACACCTCGAAATTGATACCCATATCATATTGTTAAAAAATGTCCGCCATCTTGGATATGATAATGGGTGGCGTTTTTATTAATCATCACCCCGAGAAACCACAATGTAGATATCCAGGACATTAAAAAAAATTGTCCTCCATCTTGCATTTGAAAATATATGTCATTGTCGTAATCAACACCCCCAAGAAACCTCGTAATTGACATCCATATCATACATAAAAACTGACCGTCATCTGGGATTTAAAAATAATGCTATTTTCGTACCCCGATAAAACTAAAAAATGACTCCAAAACCTTAATATTTTTCAAAAACTTCGAAACATGTCCAGCGACTATAGTCGACCAAATCTAAGAAATACCTTTTAACATTTCACATTAATAATTCAGCAATAACTTTGCACAAGCGTACTCGCATTTAAAATAACCTTTTACGTGAATCCGAAGAATTGTGAAGTTATCTATATTTCATTATAACGTGTATTGTGTGTATTTTATCACTAATTAAAATCTTTAAAATAAAGCAAAATATTAAAAAATAACCAGTATCATCTTTTTTACTTGACGTCGTTTCATTGATAAGTCGCTATGTACATTACCGTAGTGTTTGGATAATTAAAATTCATTGTTATGCGAATAATCTGCAAAAATATTCAAATAATCGAATCATTATTTTTTTTTCTTTAATTTAATTTTTATTTTTAAAATTTCTTAAATTACATGAATCATGAATAAAACAAGTTTATTTTTTTACTTTGTCAACGTAAATTTTTTATTGTAATCTTTTTGTGTAGTACAGAAAAAATTATTATGGATGACTTTGAAAGAGATTAATTTTGACTGCATTATTGAAAATCAAATAATAATTAATCTAAACAACGACAGCTCAACAAGTTGTACTGAAAGTGATTGAATAAATTTATTTTTAATGTAGTTTTAATCTACAATTTTTTTTGTGCCTCTAGAAATAAGCAGTACAACAAATACGAAGAAACTGATAAATCTAGTGTTTGAATTATCCGTTTTAAATTTATACTGGTATTATTTAAACCAAACTGTATCGATTCGAATCTAAGTAATCGATATCGATTTTTTTAAGAATCTAATATTTTATGTTCCAATTTTTGAGTTGGCATGCTTGGTGCAATAAGACTGACAGCTGTTAAAATGTATTTCTTAGATTCGGTTGACGTTGACGGTTAGTACCTATTTTTTGTCGGCATTTTTTTCCGTTGGCAATTTGGCATGACATAACAAAATATACACAATATAAAATAATAATAACAATATTTCTTTACCTTTCTTCCGTGTGCGTAATTTGGTGAAATCGCAGATTATGCTAGCTGATCTCACAGCACATGTATGCACCATTTTGATTATAAGTACCTACACTATATTTAACAATAAAAAAACAAACTCATGTTAACCCTGGAAGTCGTCCCGAGCTACTAATAAAATTGGCATAATCAGCTCGGGCTCGTCCTTCCCGCGTCTAGCCCCGCACGCCCTGCACGATTGGCCCTGTCTAGACGTCTTCGTCGGACGACTGTATGGCTTTATAGAATGTGGTTGTAACAAAAAAAAGCTGGCTTATATTAACATAATTACAGTGCAAAATGTAATATATTATGTAAAATGTTGGGAATGGTTGTGAGTAGTTAAATCGAATCATTACTTGTGATGAAAATTGGATACTGAACGATAATCGTAAGCGCTCGTCGCAATGGCTGAACCCTGGAGACCCCAGCCAAATCCTGCCCTAAACGAAAGTTGACTCGGAAAAAGTTACTTGTGAGTGTTTGGTGGACTAGCGCCGGTGTCGTTCACTACAGCTTTCTAAAATCTGGCGAAACGATTACGACAGATATCTATTGTCAGCAACTGCAATCCATGAAGGAACAACTAGCTGCTAAACAACAGAGATTGGTCAATCGCTCTAGGCCACTGCTGCTTCACGACAACGCAAGACCACACACTGCACAACAAACAACAACTAAGTTAGATGAGCTACAATTGGAATTTCTGCGGCATCCACCGTACTCCCCGGACCTTGCTCCAACAGATTACCATTTTTTCCGGAATTTGGACATCTTCTTACAATGAAAAAAATTCAACTCCGATGCTGCAGTCTAAACGGCCTTCAAAGAGTTTATTGATTCTCGCTAGGGAGTTGGACTAGATGACTGAGATGTGAGAAGTTTATTTTAAATAAAATTTATCAATTTTTCCAGTATTATATAAATACACAAAACAATGTATCAGTAGTTTGTTTTTAAAGGTTTTGCACATTTTTAACTCTTATTTTTTTACTTTTAGGGAATATCGATAGTTTAGTTCATTAATTTTTAATCTAAAATATACATAAAATATAAGTAATATTACAGAAAGAAAAATTATCCCTTACATTTTACTAACAACTTACCTTCCCTGCTATGAAATCTGTGAAATATTCCATCGCAGTCCAAAGTGGCACCGTCCTGGTGGTAAAAAAAGTGGTCAATGTCCTCATTAGCAATAACGGTGGTGTGTGGTGTTTACGCAGTATCCGCTGCTGCTGCTGCCGGTGTTCGGGCGGCTGCACGAGCTGGTACGCGCGGCGCTTGCACGACCCGACCTCAGCGCCGTGGAGAGCGTCACGCTGCAGGAGGCGCTGCTGCTCGTCTCCAACCACTTCTGCTGCTACGAGCGCCAGAGCGCGCTCGTCGCACAGGTACCTACAACTTCGCGCACTCGCCGACTCGCACACTGCTTCATTCCTTTAGTACTCGTAAACGCGATTTAAAAAAATAACTAACAATACCTATACTTTCTTTAATCACTCCTGGTAAGCTTAAAATGCTTGTGTTAGAAGTACTTTACAGTAGTCAAATGACAGATTTGAACCCACGACCTTTTGAATTCGAGGTCTTGCACCCTACCATTAGATTACTGTCGCTTCAGATCGCAATTACTGTTCATGTGGTCAATGATGTAATCAGCAATGACGAAAATACTAATAAAAAATAATAGAAAATTAGAAATAATAGTTTGGATGTGTTGTGACTCTGTCATACTTGTCTATGATTTTATTTTGTAAGAAATAAAATAAAAAACACTTCTTCACTTTTAGTCAATCTTATATTGATCATCATGTCTGATGGTCCTAAACGCGACTGCTCATCATGTGATTCTGGGTTCGAATCCCGGGTCTGACCCACAATTTGTCAAGAAGGATGTGTTGTTTCACTACTGTGTCTTGTGTCGGATTAGAGTCACAGTGAGAGAAAAGGGAGTGCCAGGTGTACTTGCACTTATACTAGGGCATTATAATCCTATCGTGCACAGATGGCTAGTTTTTGTTGAGATTGGTCACTATGAGTCTGTGACCGAAATTCGGTCTGGAGAATATTATTTAACATGACTACATAAATACAGTTATTTGTGGTAGGGAAGAGGAAGTAGGTCTATTTTAGTTGGTCATAAGTTGGAAGGTGAAACGTAAGTTGTAGTATTGTAAGAAAATAAAACACTTTTATGAACTTTGAAACGTAAAAACAAACAGGCTAGCTTAAAAGTGGACACAGCGATAAGGATAAAAAATATTTAACGATATTTTTTATCCTTAAGAGGGATTAAAAATATCGTTAAATTAAAGAAAAAAAATCTTATTCGCATTATAGTGTATCTATATACATCCTTTTCTAACAATAACGTCTTATACGGTAAGTACGGCTCGTGTAATGGTTTCTGATGGCTCTGGCATCTCTTGGACAACTGCAGCCAACTCAAGGAAGTCTATAGATGCATTATCATCTTTGAGGACAAAGATGTTTAAACCTGTATTTATACTGGCTCTCTATTCCAGGCAGAAATGAGTGAGGGTAGTAGCTACTGAGACGGAGTCCTAAGCAGGTGTCCTACCACCATTGAATTAATATGTATTAACTTTTAGAACTGTGTGCGATGTTGTAATAAGAGTGTGGATATAGGATATCCATGTTGGTCTTGTAAGATAGGTGGTAGCGGTGAGTGACGGGTGATGTGGTGCGGCAGGTGCTGGGCGACTGCAGCGCGCGCTGGGCGGCGCTGGGCCCCCACGTGTCGTCGGCGGCCGCACTGGCGCGGCTCGTGGGGCTGGACGTGGCGCCGACGGGGCCGGGGGAAGGGGATGACGAGCACGGCCGCGCGCGCCGCACGCTGCTGCACGCGCTCGCTTTGCTGCTCGGCGTCGTCAAGCGCACGCACGTGCCAGCCGACCCCGACAAGTCAGTGCACCACGCCATTATAATACAATACAATAGTTTATATTCAATATACATACATTACAAGAATCACATTACAAGAATACTTAAGAAAGTGAGTATAGAGCAGGGCTGACTTGATTAGATCCAAGATCTACTGTTTACTGAGGAAACCACTGACCTCTATATATACAAGTACGCTGGACTGGCTATACCATACAAAATGACTGTGCCAATTTGAAGCGCCGCTAAAGGATGTCTTGAAAAATAAAATTGACATAATATGCCAAAGTCTGCTGTCTTATTTATATTGTCATATTTAAAAAGTCTGTATTTTGAACTTATATACTAAAAAAAATGAAAGTATTTTATATTGTTTGATTGTGTATAATATTAGTTACATATTAAGAATTATTTTTAATAATAATGAGAGTGAGCGTAATCTGTAAAGCTCGTTACCAAAAGGGAAGCCATATAACATTACACAAGTAAGTGAATTTGCAGCTAATATTTAACAAATTAAAACTATTTGATAATGTAAGTACTTAAAATTTTGTTACTAATCTTAATATCATATATACCAACATGTTTGGCTGTATATTACTGAGTTTTGATAAACAATAACATTCAATAGGGTTGTCGAGTTCCTTGTCTATAATACTTATCGATGTTCTTTCCTACCCATATCTGTTAACAAACAAAGTCGCCAACAACAGATGATTATCAAATGTTTATTAATTAACTGGTTTCCAACAGAACCTAGACTAAAATTATGGCTTATAAGCATAAATATTGTGAATTGGCGTCCGAAACAAAATGATCATATTTGTTCCAAACATTTCACAGACGACTGTTTTATTAGATATGAGAACTGCACCACTTTGAAAAAGTGCAGTATACCGAATATATTTTCTGGTAGTATCAGTACCAGTAAGTATAAAAGTATTAGATTATTATTTGGAATGTTTTTTTTATTTCTTCTTTCCTCATTTTCCACCAAAATCAAGGGCCATAGCCAAGTGTCGAAAGGTCGCCTTTTGATGTCGAGCCACGTTGGATGTGTGTTAGTGGGCTGCGGCTAGAGGAGATTCCTCTCCCTGTACCGCTGTAGTTGAGGTGGAGTAGTAAGGCAAGAGGAGTGTTGGTATGGCGATTGGCGATGCGCCATTCGACTATCTTTCGCGACTTTAGTGAGGCTGCACCACTTGATGTTTCCAAGTGCTCGTTTTTCAAAAAGTGGCCATCTGTAAGGAGTAAATAACAGCTCAAAAACTCTCCACAACAGCGCTGGATTAGCTACTGGGATAAAATGAACTTAGCAATTGTCGACGGTTTAGGTGTGGTGCTAAACTGCTCAGTAGCTCTAAAATCTAAAATAATATTATTTAGTAAATATAACCTCGAAAAATTCGTCTGTCCCACTAATATTTTTCGGTGCGTTCTTTAAAATTTACCTCGTAGTTATAGTGGCGTCACCCTTATTTAATGGTTTTTATGGACACTTATTAATACACAGTCTGTACTCCTTACTTCTACACTCCATAGATACGGTATTAACCTCAATGGCACGTACGTCACTCACCTTCGATTTGTCGACAATATAGTCCTTATAGCAGAATCGCTAAAGGACCTACACACTATGTTCAATAACCTCAATAACGTCTCTCAACGGATAGGTCTTAAGATGAACATGGACAAAACAAAATTCATGTGTAATGTCCATGTCACACCTATGTCGGTGGTTTTTGGGAGCACTTAGCTGAAGTTGTTGACGAGTATTTTTACATGGGACAAATAGTCCGACAGGTAGGTAAGTTCTACTTCGACCGACAGGTCAATCGACGGATTCAGCTATTAGAATTACAACACATCTTCTCGTCAGGAATACCTCAAAACTAGATTGTACAACCACTCCGTGTTGCCAGTGATGACCTATGGATCTGAGACGAGGTCTTTCACTGCTGGCCGTTGCGGAAGCTCGAAGTCGATCAGCGAGCTATGAAGAGGGCTATGCTCAGGGGTTCAAACCTAGGAATGAGGATATCTGCAGCAGAACCAGAGTGACCGACATCGACCAATGGATTAGTACGCTGAAGTGGAAATTGACCGGCCATATAGCTCGAAGAACCGAATACCGAAGGGGAGAAAAGGTTCTCGAGTGGCAGCCCATGCCGGCAGGTAAGGTAAGGCAGGTAAAACCTGGTAAGACATGCAGGAAGTTGATGGATTCAGGTAGCTCAGGACCGTGCTTTGTGGCATTCCTTGGGGGAAGCCTATTTTCAGCAGTGGACTTGTGAATGGTTTTAATGATGATGCATGATAATGGCGTTATATTAATATGATACATAAATAGAATGGACGTTACGGGTAGAGTCCATCTATCCATAGAGTCCTTTCTATTTATTTAGGTATAGGTAGGGTTTAGAATTTTTATCGATATAATTTGATACACTGTCTTATCCCTATTATTAGTTCCGTGGACGTGCACTTTTGCTGTCAGCGCCAAAATGGCGGAAATCAAATCGCTTCATCATGTCACGTCTATAGCCTGTCCAGCGTACTTGTATATATAGAGGTCAGTGGAGGAAACCCTGTGCGATCTACCAATTACATACTTCTTAAAATCTTAAATGAAACATCATAGTTCAGTACACAATTAAGGGGATATAGTACATCAGCTCAAATTCTAATTTCGCCCCAACTTCCCCGCGCGTCGTATGCTATGTACCGACATGTTTGTAATCACTAATACTGTAAGAAGATAGGTCGTTAGGTACTTATTTCATTAGGTTTATCATATTTATGCATGTTTCTTAACGCCAACGCAGTCGCTTCTTATTTTTATCACGGTTATTTCCCATTTTAATTTTACGTCGTCCTGTTGCGTAATGTGTATTCTGATCGTAAGCGACACAACTTCTCCCTTCAAAAGCCGAAGAGACACTAACCGGGCGGCAGGAAACAAGCTTCAAGACGCTGATATTTTAGGTAATTTCTTTTTACAGTGAAAATAATGGTATTTAAAAAAAAAGTTAATAACATAAGCCCTGCTTTATAGTTAGTATGCAAAGTTTCATGATCTGATTTAAAGTATTCTATGAATAACAGCGGTTTATTGTTCAGTTTGGAGGTAACTTTGGGTTTTTTTTTCTATCGAGAAAATTTTACGAAATCGTGTTTTCGTCTAACTAGTGTTTAACATTAATCTTCAACTTTACGATATATTTATTTCAAATTTAATGCTGCAATATTTTCGGCATAACGGAGGATCTTGTTAAGCCATTTCAGGTTATATTTCCCCTTAAGTATTATTTTTTATTTAATTGAGAGGGAAAACATAAAACTGAAAGTTATTCTTAGTTAATAAATAATGCACAAACTTATTTACATATATTAGTATTAGATTAGCAAAACAGGTTTTTAGTTGGAAATTGCCAACCTTAAAGAATCCAGTGTATGATGAGCGTCTGTCAAGTGAGAACGGTGTTTATTTTTTGTTTGTTTTAAGTAGGGAAATGCTAACTCACATAAATATGTTGAACCAAAACACGAATGCAATTGTTCAACACATTTCTTCAAACTTGGATATTTCTCGTTGGAAACCAATGCCCAGAAATCTAGACCTGAGGATGACCTTGCTTTTAAAAATATGTCGCAGCGCAGAGTAATAATTTCGTTTTGAAGTATCACGTGGTCCATTTGAAAAGTATCTGCAAATTTTGTAGCCATTTCATAGATATCACTATGATTAATAGAAATATTAAATGCATAACTGATGAATTCCACCAAATTCTCAATCTTTTTGAAATCACTAAAGCAAATTTCGAAGTCCGATACCACTACCTTAATTTCTGCCATGTATACTTGTCAGGAATTAAATTGTAGATAGAATGCTTTTCTATATGACCCTTGATGTTTCTGACACTGCTTCAAAGAAATCCTTGATGTATTCTCTATCGGAAAAAGGTTTGCACTTTTGAGCAATTCTGTAGCTTACTTGAAAAGAAACTTCTGTTGCAGCTTTATTTTGCTCAATAGGCCCAGAAAACATTTTTTCTTGGACTTTTAATTGTGATTTCAATGCTAGTGTAACGCTCCCCCCCTCTATATATATATATATATATATATATATATATATATATATATATATATATATATATATATATATATATTAAATTATTATTATTATTGTTTATCCCTTCCCGCTTGGGAAAGGCTCACAATATATTTATACATACCCGATACAAGGGCTTCGCTCTCTTACATTTATTTAAAAAAAATGTAGAATAAGTTTATATATAAATGTATTATAAGTTTAGGGCAAGGAAGTGTCCGCCGCGCTGCCCAAATGCGTGTTGACGAACTTCACATGTCTTCGAAATATTTTTTTTCTTATTCCTCAGACATGCAGGTTTCCTCACGATGTTTTCCTTCACCGCCGAGCACGTGGTAAATCAGCACTTAAAATTGCAATTAACAATTTCATTGGTGCCGGCGGGGATCGAACCCGGGTTACTCGCGTTCTGTTATATTTACAGCGAGCGTTAACCACTGAGCTACCACGGCTCTTTATGCTTATTTATGTAATTTTATTGTTTAATATATATATATATATATATATATATATTTATTAAGACTATTTTTGATGCCCCTTTATATTGAATTTGATTATTAATAATAATATTGTGCCGTCACACTAACAGTTAACTTTTTCTTATTTCGCTGTTAACTGGAAAGTCAGTCTGATATTGACGATGCATTGTGTTAAAATGTCCACGGATGTATTACATATTAGGTAGCAACAATTTTCTTTCACCATAGTAAAGAAGTAGTCCAGTTCCCATTCTTGGTGCAAGTGATAAGTTTTTGATTTCTTTGGAGTACATTTATCGAGGATCTCCAAAAAATAAAATTAAAATATTAGGAACATAATACGGAAATTAATAAAAGTAGAAAGATCCTACCACTAAAATGATGCATTGATGGCACAAAATTAGCGAGTAATCATTATAAGTTTTTTACCCACTTACTAGGTAGAATTCGCTTGAACCACCGCGTACCTAAAATAACAATTGTTTTATAATACACCATAAAAAAATAGGGAGCATGCACCATTAATGCATAGATTTATGTAATACTGGCTGCACCCCGCGGTTTGACCCGCATGATAAAAATTGGTGTTGGTGATGATGATGTTAAGTAGTTTATGTGTCTATCCAGGATGTCTGCTACTTCCACACCAAATTTTATCAAAATTGGTCTAGCCGTTTGAGCGTAAAAGAGTAACAAACATCCATACATACAAACTTTCGGGTTTATAATATTAGTAAAGATAGACGCGAAAACTTCTTGTAGCGTTTGGGAGGTTAATGACATGAACGCGGCACGTATAAGGAAAAATTACACTTCAATAAAATCGTAATTTCTACAGTTTCTCCTGTGAATAACTTTTACATTTAGGACCAGGAAAACTCACGAAAATAAAAAGTAAATAATAATTTAAAATTTATTTAGTTTAAATTACATTTTGAAACTGTAAAAACTTACTCCTCAAAGGAGATGTTCCATAAATGTATGGAGCCTGGGCCAGCACTATGTACACTATATGTGAATATTGCTGTATAATATAGTAACCGTTTTTTATTGTTAGTTTTCTTTAATTTCACTGCGTTTCATTGTACATTCAAATTAACTTGGTCAAGGAGAGCAACACAACATAAAATTAAACATGGTGGATCCAGGTGGATCGGAACAGCAGTACGCGAAAAATGTCATATTGACAGTGACATTTGATTGACGTGTATAGTAATTCGTAATATCTGCAATAAAAAAAAACAACACGAATTTCAAAAATCTGGGATTTCGATAAAATAAGACTACAGGATATTCTTCTCGATTGCGGCACCACATTTTATATCACCTATTCGAGTAGTTACAGATTGGTTATATCGGTGTCAAGAGGAGCAAGAAACGAAACAAAGGCTTGAACGTTATTTTATTTACAACACTTTCCTGCTGCTTCGTTTAGTTTTTTACTTTAGTGCCTATAAATATACTCTGTACTTCAATAATTCATAGGAGAGCAGTTAGCTGTACAGTACCTGATGACTGCAAGTTATAGTTAAAGTAGATAACTATACCTATTACACAGTAACAGATGGGAAGAAATCAACTATTCTTATCCAATTAGGTAGCAGCAGCATAATCAGCCTATAATGTTTCTACCGCTGAGACATATAACTACTTTCTGTGAGAGTGGACTGTAATCCAACATGCGGGCCCAGTGCCCAATTAAACACTAACAATTTTTCAAACAAGTTCTATGTTATATGATTCCTAGTATTAGAGACATTAATAGCATGAGAAATAAGTCATGAGGTATACAAATAAAACAACTTGTTGAGACTTTTAATTTTATTAATTTTCTACATCATCCATTATTAATATTCCATCCAGGAATGACGCCGGTGCTTCTATGCTCTCTTGGTACCGAGCCCAACCCAAATACCACACAATGGTCATAATGTGAGCACAGCAACCCACTGTTCGTTGTCCGGAGATACAACTACAATAATAGCTAATTATTTTATCATCCCAACTTGATCCTTCCTTTGACAGCAAAATATATGTATAATATGTTCGTCCTGAGCTATGTCGAGATTTTATACGGCCTCTGATTAAAAGAGGATCAAGTTGGGATGGGGTTGCTTCTGCTACTACTTCCAGTTGGTCAGATACTTCTACCTGAAATGATCCATGCTGCCTAATATGTTCCCCGAAATAGCTTCTAGCCTGTTTTATTTGATAGGTACCCAGCCCAAAAAGTATCAAGTCAGACATAGTCATTTCAGGGAAAATACTTAACTCTGGAAGTTGACCATCAATTCTTGTGAATTGGGCTCTAAAGCGGTTGATCCGGTTAGCAATTATAAGTTCTGCTAACCGGTTGGGCATATTTTTTCTCTGTATTGCTCGAGTAAGTATAGCATCAGCATCTGGTCTATTTTCAATCACTGGATGGAATGCATTAATTATAGCTGCACAAATACGAACATCGTCCATCAAATGGGTGGCAGCCAAATTAAAATATTCGTGTCTCAATAGCTTAAAGTCTCTTTTAAATCGGCCATTAACTACTTCTACCACCCATCTGCATAGTGTCACACATCTTGTCTTGTTTGCACTGATGGTTGATAACTGAGTCTCTCCTTGTTCTAATGACTCCGGTTTAAATACTTTGAAGCCCAACCCCTCTAGCATTGGAATGGAATCACGAAAGCCTCGATCCAAAATGAAAACATCATTGGGCTGAAAAAAAGCCCTTAGACCCTCATTTTCATTTTGGAACAAAGCTTTCATGATGTCAGCATCTGATTTGGTTGCTGGATAGGGCCCCAAAATATCAATAATATAACCATCAGTGGCAACAATGAGAAAAGGTTTAACAAGGTTTCTATATTTGTGCAAGCTATAAGTTTTTTTTTGGAACATATAGTTGGATGATTTTTGAAGGTATATATAGGTACCATCAAATATTATTATTGGTACTCTTGCCTCTCTGTTTCCAAACAAACCCTCGGGTATTAATAAATTCCTATTTATTAAATCATTTCTTGTATGATTGATTCCTAAGTGGAGAGGCACAAATAACCTTAGCAATGCCTCTTTAGCTACTCTAAGCAATCGTGTTATTGAGGACTTGGTCAGATGAAACAGAGAGGCAATCCTTTCATGGGAGTCCCCTGTACGAGCTTTCACCAAATAGATTCCCAAAGCAATTTTTTGGTTTTTGCAAGTCAATGCTGGGCTTATTACATTTAAAATATTTATAAAATTGTCTTTTGTAATTCCAGTCCAGAACTTAAAGAGTCCCTCATCAATACTACTCATATTATTAAAATCTAGTTGATTTATTTCATTGTCCTGGATACTCAGCTTCAGCATTGACTCTATTTCATTTTTTGTAAATGTATTTGAGAACTGATGCTGGTCCAGAAACTCCCAGTTGTATAAACATTTATGTTCATTACATACTCTTGCATTTTCTGTCACAAATATTTTTTCCGATTTTAATATAATTCTTCTTAAGTATTCCGGCACTCTATTTCGTTCTACATTGTTACAGGCCGGCACAAAACAATGAGTACTTGTCTGTGTTGTGTGTGTAAAACCATCAAGTGTTATTGATGCACTTGGTGGCTGGATATCAAATTGCACAACTTCTTGCTCCATTTCTATATTTTCGTGTGCACGTGTCCAGCAGTTGGAACAAAGTAGCGCATGTTCTGGTAACTGAAACAATACAAGAAACAATTTACTTACAGGAGCAACAGAAAGGGTTACTTACAGTTAAATGCAAAGTTACATTACTTGTGTATGGTGGTTTAGTAAATTAAAATAATTTTACCTCATTGGGGTAAATTCTTGCTGCAACTTCATCTCTCACAGGACCACTAGCCACATGTGTTCGCCTTCGGTGTAGCGACATTCTACACCATGCACACATAGAGTCTTGGTGAAGATTAGATGGGCCTTGCCGGTTATCCTCAACCCTTGTAGCATGCTCCACATTTCTACGTGCTGCTACCCAACAAGCATAGCAAACCAGTCCTCCTGGTGGAATCTGAATTAAACAAAAGAAAACAATATGTATTGACTATTAACCCAATTATTTAATTCCAACAGTAGGTAATTAAGTAAGTTGTTAATGTTACCTCTCTTGGATATATCGTTTGTGTTATTATGGTCCGTTCAGGTCCTTCAGGTATGGAGTGGCTGCGTGTTTGGGCAAGAGACCGTCGGCACCATACACATGCATTCATATTCATAACAGCAGGAGCTGCTATGATTCCTTGTTGTTGTATTGTACGCCGAGTATGTACCCAACAAGCAAAACATATTAAACCACCCTCGGGTATCTAAAACAAAAAATATGAAATTAATATTTATTAATTTAAATCAAAACATTTCTAAATAATTTAAATCACAACATTTCTAAATCATTTTAATAAATCAAGATTTAGTTATTTTAACATCACCTTCACAGACTCAACCAAGGTGATGTTATAAGTTACATATCTACACACATTTCCAAAAATTAAATTGTGACTGTTCTGTTTCTTCCTGCAATAATATTGTCTTAGACCATAATTAAGGAACATCTGCATTTGACTGCCTGTATGAATAAAAAAGAAAACAAAAGAGGTGCTTACCTCTCTTGGAGCAATTGTTTCAGCAATATATTGCCTTTCGGCACCCTCGGGAATAGAGTGTGCACGCCTCTTAAACAAAGATGTCCTACACCTAACACAAACATTGCTATCATGGCAATGTTGGAGTTCGTGATCTCCATGTGCCAGACCATTAGATACCTCTTGCATTATGATGCCAAAGCATTGTGAGCACATCACTTCATTTCCATCAACCTAAAACAAAACAAAACAAAAAAGAGGTTATACAGTGTTTAAAAATATGTTACAGTAAATAGATAAATAAAATGTTTTTTACCAGATGGCCAAGATACCGCTCGATGACCGAAATTATTTCAGGACCCATATCATCGGTAGCATAATATTGTTCATTTTCATCTATTACAGAAGTGCACTGGAGGCATGCCATTGTCAATAAACTGAAATAAGTATGAGTTAAAATCTATTAGAATATGGAACAAAGGAAGAAATCATCACATAGAAATAGCATTTGAACAAAACAAGTAAATGCACGGGTAGCGGACATACCTGAAACTGAACTTGTTATTGTAAAATAACACGACGGAATCCAAATCACAGGCGAATCAGAAACCATATAACAAAGCCGGGGTCAACAGAGAAGCAATCAAATCAATGTCCGTAATAGTAAACTGGGTCGTAAAACAAAAACAATCACTAAAAACTCCGAAACACATCCAATTCAAACCCAAAGCAAAGCAATACTCAAAGACGTCACTTCTTAAAACTGTCAAAGTCGTCAAACGTCATAAAACACAACTGTCATGGCTGCCCTCGAAATAGGGTTATCCTATAAAAAAACTTTTCAAATGATCATTTTGTACGCCTGTACCCTTCTTCAAATTAATTTGTAAGTATTTTTATGAAATTACTCAATTTTTTTCCTATTTATCTATGTAGTGTACATAGTGGTAGCCCAAAATCAAACATCTCCTTTTAATATTATTCTTACTAACCTAAAATTTAATAACTATGAGCTGCAATCTTTACGAATTTGTATTCAAAAGGACTTACATTATGTAATTTTGCGTCCTTTTGAAGAATTTACAAATACCTTGTAATAAGACAAATTACAAATGCAATGATAAGATTCTATATGTTATGTATATGTACTTTTCTCTGAACACGCACTAGGCCACACCACTATCCTCATCATATGTAGTCAAATTCAAACTAAGCATTAAGAATCAAAACAATACCCTACTGAAATATTATATCCTATACCTTTAAACGAGTATATATAATCGGAATCTCGGAAACGGCTCCAACGATTTTCATAAAATTTTGTGTCCAGGGAGTTTCGGGGGCAATATATCGATCTAGCTAGGATTTATTTTTAGAAAATGTGCTTTTGTCCGTGTTTTCAGGCAATAAATAACTGCTACAATATAAGAAGTTAAATTTTAACAGATCACTAACGATCGTAATAGCTCAGATGGGATGACGGTCGGGTAACCACTTTTCCATAGCGTACTGTTATAGATCCCCTTTTAATAGGGATCCGCTGACACAAAGTACATCGTCAGCACTCCCAGTACTTTCTCTAGCAACACCAGTCAGTCCGTCATACACTCTCATCCGAAACACTCGCCTCTCAATCTCAATTCTTAATGTGTGTCTCTATAATTAAATCCAGTTATAGTGTTTCTAAATAGTTTTTTTTAAAAGACATTTCGTGAAGCTCCGTATAACAGTACGTACATATGGGGCGCGATGCAGTCTAATCGTGATTTATAGCAGTAGTCATGGACGAAGTAACTCCGCTAGTCTGTCGTCAACTGAGTAACGGATTGACAGTGACATCCGCCCCGCCCCCGCGTCCCACACGCTTCTCCCTTTTTTTCATCGTGTGCCGAAAACAAAAGAGAGCTATGCTTAAAAGAGAGGATAAATAAGGTGCGGAACAGTGATTGAAAATGATACAAGCTGGGATTATGACGAGAGAAGTGATTACGTAGCGCAGTTCGTTCTACGTATTTATGTTTATATTTTTTGCCTTGCCACGATCGACTGGACCAATAGTCGCAATCGACCGGTTGGCCACCCTTGGTATAGAGATTTGGTGTTTGAAAACAGCATTCTACTAGAGGATAGATATAGATGTCTTCTGGCCATAGCATTCATCTCATGTCATGTCATGAGTGTCATACTCTAACTAATATTAATAATATTGTTTATGAAACCAACAGAGCGTCGCGCGGCGGTTTCGGTGCGGGCATGACGGCGTCCGGCAACCCGGTGTGGCGCAACCCGTGCGGCGCGCACGTGCTGCCGCTGCTGCCGCACGCGCTGGCTCTGGCGCGCGCGCTGCACGAGCTGCACGCGCCTCACGCCGCCGCGCTGCGCCACGCCGCACACGCGCGCGCGTGCAGCCGCCGCCCGCCGAGCGCCGCAATCTGCTAGGCCTGCGCGATGACGCGCCGCACGCGCCCGCCGTCGAGCCGCACGACCGCATGCAGAACTACCTGCACACGCTGCACGACAACGTGAGTGCCGCCGTTCCTGTGCCATTCCAGGACTATATCTGCTCACTCATCAACTGAACTCTTCTGCCGCAACCTGCTCGGCCTTCGCGACGATACATCGCACCCACTCGCAGGACCGCATAAAGAACTACCTGCACACGCTTATTTATACATTATTTATACTTATATATTATCATATTAAGTTTCTGTCCGACACCGTCCGTAAATTCATGAATACCCTATGCGCCCGAGTGACGTAATCACTGTAAAGACCACCGCCCGCGCTAGCTACCTACACTACATTCCAATAAAAACACAACAAGTACACATAACCTGTGATGTAACTTTTCCTTCATACTTTCATCCTAGCTTAGGACAGGCAAAAATTTAGGAATTTAGGAAAAATTGAGATTTTACTAGAAAAAATGTTATTTTTCATTGAATTCACATTCTATAAGTGAAACCAAACCACTGGTTTCAAGGATAACGGTGTTTACACTAACACCCTGTATATTTAAATATATAAGGGTGTAATATATATTTAAATGTCTTGATATCTTTAATTGAAATAACTAAAAAAATAATTAATAACTAAATAAATAATTGTGATAACTCTTGTACCTTTTTTTGGAAGTCTAAAAAAATATAAAAGTTTATCGTTGTGTGGTGCAGGTGTGCCACCTGGTGGGCGCGGCGGCGGCGTCGCTGGGGCGCGAGCTGTACGGCGCGGCGGGGCTGGCGCGCTGCGTGACGGAGGCGCTGCTGGCCGCGCCCGAGCACCTGCCCGACCACTGGCTGCGCCGCGTGCTGCGCGCCGCGCTGCGCCCGCTGCTGCACCACTGCCCGCCCGCGCACCACGCCGACGTCGCGCTGCCGCTGCTCGACCGCCTCGCGCCCTTCAGTGCGTACACACACACAAGCGCGCACATACATTACTGCACACACACACACACACACACACACACACACACACACACACACACACACACACACACACACACACACACAAAATTTTTATAGTCATTCCCAATGTACTTTATTCGTCTGTAATGCATCTTATATATGTCCATAGTTTGTCCAGCTGTTGTCTGACCATGACTAGAGTTTAAAACTCTAGTCATGGTTTGATCCTCAGAATCCTAAATAAGATTTAAAAAAAATATATCTTTTCAGTGCTGGTACACCTGTCACAACGATGGGACTATGTGACATCATTGTACGAGTCTGGTAAATTAGAGGAAGAGGGCGGCAGCGAGTCGCAGGAGGTACTCGAAGACATGCTCGTACGACACCTCACAAGAGAACATCTCGAATTACTGAAGGTACACAACAGTCAATGGGTGCGTTTGGCAGAAAAAAGCGCTAGCAAGCGCTTACAAGCGCTGAAATAGTTTTCGGCCAGGACACGATTGCTACTTCAGTAGCGCTGACACAATCCGCCATTTTGCTTATTTAATTTGTTTGTTTTGAAGTAGAGTTTTTTTAAGTTTTTTTTTGTGCAATATTAGTTTTAAGTAATATAATGACATGAATAAACAATATAGATGTTATTAAAAATTCATGATTGGTAAGTTTTTAATATGAATACTTTACAAACATATATTTAAATTAGGTTAGGTTCCCCGGTTAAAACTGACTTCGTGTCCTAGAGGAAAATAGCTACTTACGATTTGACAGCGCTTACCACTTACGATCGCCATTTTGCTTACAAGCGCTTGCTAGCGCTTTTTTCTGCCAAACGCACCCAATATTTACACGTGAAATTATCTGTTTATAATATCCCCTATCAACTTTTACCTCGTGAATAGTCACTGCAAATAGACTACCAAATTAATGTTACTTATTTATTTTTTTGTTTACGTATTAAAATTCTATATAAAGTTCATTAATCTGGTATTATTAATTGTATTAAGGCCGAATACGAAGAGAACTGGCGAAATTTAATGTATTTCTCTTCACTACAACTTAGACCTGAAGTAATTCTAAGCGTTAAAACATTTTTTGTAGGTTTGTTCGGTTCCTTCACAAGGTGCCCGAAGTTTTAAAATTTTAAAATAAATGAATATACCAACAAATAAAAAAATGTTAAGAAATGATATTTAAAAATGATTGTTCTTTTTTTGTTCTTCCAAAACTAAATTTTTCCTAAAAAAAATTCTTTTACGTAAAAATGTTTGTATTGTGATTCCGAAGGTGCCTGCTGTCTTTATTTTCGATACAAAATATTATTTATTAACATAATTCGTTTTAATTAAAACACTTAATAATGATATCGTATATTGCCAGATAAAAGTTTGCCGTAATAAATTACCAGGCGCTTCGACGTGTGACGTAAGATAACAACAATCGATGTTTCTGTAGCGAAAATCGTTAATTTAGTGTTTTATACGCGTTTAAGTGACTATAAATGTATATATGGGTAGGAAAAGAAATAAATGTTACCTAAGTGGTAAAACAAAGAGAGTTTATCGCATGAACGCTGCTCGAATGTTGTATTTTGAGGTCAATACCTTATATTTTTGTAAGGTAATTTTTTGTTTGAGGCTGCCTAATAGGTTGCATTTTTACTCATTTACATTAGGCAAACTGATCATTTATACTTTTCTAGTTTCAAGTGAGAAACACTAAAAATGTAAATATCAAGACTGAGTCGGAAAAGCATGTACAGAGTAGTGCAAGCACAGAGACCGCAAATAATGTCATAGTCAATGTATTGTCCGAAAGCATGGGGTAAGTACATAATTAAGAAAAACCGAAATATTTCGGATGTGAAGTGATTGACCAGTCGGAGTAGTCTTGTGAGAATTTACATACACAGTACCTATCCCCACTATGGGGCAATCACCGACTTTTTAGTTTTTTTTCTTTATTATTTATGCAATTTGCATTACGGCATCTTGTAAGACTCACAAGAACAAACATTTTCAGTTATATGAGGTTCTTTACGTACGATGCACCAATTAAGAAAAAAAATCGTTATCAATTCAATAACTTTTCGAACAATATTTTATAACGAATAAAGTACAGAATTTATAATCTATAGGAACTAATATTATAAATAAGAAAGATTTATTTAAGAAGTAAGCAATGCTCTCTGTGTTGTTCATTACTCTGCATACTGAGCTACCTCAGTCAAATATAATATAATCAAAGCCCCGTACGGCTTTGATTATATTATACATGTCTATATAAACAAAGCGTACGGGCGGCGCGTGGCTTGCTGCGAAACGAGCAAGGTCAATCGCGTCGTATTCGGCCTTAACGTATCGCCAACCTTTAAAGCACGACTGATGAGTGATGACTTATGTCATTCTTATAAAATTTTGAGAAAGTAAGAAACGTGTTTATACCAATTTAAGCAAGTAGCACAAAATATGAAAAGTATAATAAATAATATGCAAAAAATAAAAGAAAAAAGTATTCACCGGCATAATATATATAAAGGGGACAATCATTTTTGGGCCCACTAGAAATATTAACGTTACTTAATGGTGTTTACACCAAAAAAAGACACCAAATTATAATAGTAAATGGCCTATAGATTTTTCGAAAATGTAAACGGAATCAAGAATCCGAAAAAAAAATTAGTTGTTTTCATATTCGTGTTCTGATCATTGGCTAAGGCAATATATTGTCTTAGAGATGTGCCGTGATAACTCGGAAAAAATCGACTCGAGTTGAAATTCAGGTAACTCGATTTTGAGCTCGAGATACGCAATTCAAATTAGCTGAACGAAGCTGTGTCAATTTGTCACAAATTATTTTTATAATTGTTCTGCCATACAACACAATTATTATTACTACACTTAATAGGTATTTATATATTATTTTTGGTATGCGTATCGACAATCTTCATATAATAATATCACTCTAACGTTATGACGTAAGTCTTAATGTTATTAATAATTTGACAATCACAAAGTATATATAATCAATTTATATTATATGTAACATAAATTGATACAACATTATAAACATATTACCTAATATCAATTTATTTATTACATAATATATCAATAAATTGCTTTAATTATTAAGTCGATTTCATCACTAAATTGTAGACAAACACTGCATTGGCCGAAAGATAAAGATGCGATTTGAGTAGAATTTTGTGACTCGGGCCACTCGGGTTAATTTATGCATGTATGTCATTCTAGTTGTACACTAGTTTTTGAGTAAATCGACTATTTACAGAAAAGTTTATCACTAGAGTTGAGAGTAGCGATTACTTTAGTTAAACCATTTTTAAAAATATGTACCTTTATAAATAAGTAATATGTGGCAACATGAAATTAAAATTATAAATCAATATCATAAATCAAACTAAGTTCAGGTTTGTTTACAACATGCCAGATGCAAGTTTGAATTTGGATGCTACTTGTGATGTCACCCGCAGCGACTTATTATATTATATACAAGTAAACTAGTGAAGTAATATCTATATAGCACCCTCTGAATCTATACGATGCGCCGAGTTAACTCGGTAACTCGGTAAAATTTATTTTCTATCGATTATCGAGTTGGACAAATTCACTCGATTCACTCGAGTGAAATAAAACATGGTTGGAGTCGCATCATTATGGTAAGAACAAAATGAAGTTTTTATTTACAAGCATTTCTAGACTAATGTTTAAGAAAATATGGATATTATCAATTATCAGGAAGGTTAGCCAAATATTAATTGGCACAAGTACGTATGTTTTCTCTTCTTATTTTTTGTGGTAAGATTCGCAAATAATACTGACGAGTTTAGGTTAATTAATATAAGAGTTTATAATTTTACACCTAGAATTTGTAAAAATGTATTATGAAGTTTGTTGAATTACCTAAAACAAATAACAAACAGGTCTTAGAACCTTATTAGTTTGTTAAAAGTGACAAAGTATTAAGTTTATGTTATTAGTAAAATCTAAATAAATAATAAATAGAATAAATGCACAAAAGAAGTTATTATAATGTTAAAAGAAAATTAGAATCTTTGGGTCAAGGGACTTAAAGAGGGTTTTGAAGAGCAATTCATATAACTGCATTTGTGTACAAATAGGTACCTTATGTATTCAGCAAGTTGCTTAATACTAAATGGTTTTTTTGTTAAGCCAGACACGGATCTTAGATTTATACCGGCCATAGAAGATAGGCAATATAAATGGTACATATATATATATTTGTTTTTGGTGTAAAATATGTAGTAATGTGTGCTCGAAGCAAATATAAAGTTTATAATAGGTTGTAAAAAATATGGTTGTATCTATTATGTTTAGACAGCTGTGTTGTTCACTCTGCAGAAAGGAATATTATTTTGTCATCTAGAATCAGATATACTTAATATAACAATAATATCTTTCTCTCTTATGTACATGAGATCTGTGAAAATAAAATGTGAAACAACTTTTACATAGTTGAATATCATTGATGTTAATCAATAATTACTGCTTCTGTATTTGATCAGCTGGAGCTGATTATTGCTGTATAATTTATAATAATTTCTCTATTATTTAACATATGAACAGGCAGATATAAGAAAATGCTCACAGAAATATGTAAATACAGTTTATTGACATTGAAGGCATAGTCGTATCTCATATCTCTTATTATTAAAAATGTCCTTTTAATTCCTATATAATATACAAAAAATAATATATTGATAAGAATTATTATTTAGTTAAGACACCTTTACAATTTTCATTAACTTCTTTTCAGGTGTATTGCTTAGAACAAATCTGTATGCCTTGCAAGCTGAAAGCTTGCAGAGACAAAAAGTGTATGGATATTGAAGACAACAGTATTATATCATTATCTCTTATAATTGAAAATGCCCTTATAATTGCTTGCAGTATCATAAATGTAGGTACATGTTACCATCAAGTTATTTTCAAAAAAACCTTCAGAAATATATCTAACACTAAAATGTTTCTACCTATGTCCGTTATAGACAAAACATAAGAAACCATCCAACCAATTTTAATGAAAATGTTTGTGTGTGTTTGGATGGATCCCTAGATGGTTTATATTTACATTTGGACCCGGTAGATGGCACTGTTGTCGAGATCCACAAATCACCAGTGCTGCAGCTGAGCGCATCGCTAGTAATAAATACATTTAAATTAAGCCTGTGTTTTTGTAATCCTTACACAAAGAGTTTAAAACATCTTACTTCCTCACTATTTGTCATTGTGTAATAACATAGATAAGCATGTTAATTCCCAGTAATTTTATTATGATGTATACTACTTACTAATCAACCAAAACATATTAAAACAAAGTCTTGACACCGCTCTTGTCTATATATGTCAGTCAATCATCAAAGTTCAAAAAATTTATTAAACTAAGTTTGTATAAAACGGGTTATTATAGTATAAAGGAATTTATGGATGACAATAACCCGTGGGTAAGGCGATGGCTACCAAGCTATTTCTAATTTGTTCTGTGTTGTTAATTATGACACACATGATTGTAAGCTGGCTTTTTTTAAAAGACCCACTGAGTATTTTGCTGGTTCTCTTCAAGTCAGAGGTTTTTTTCCGAACCAGTGGTAAATTAAAAAAGTGACTTTCAATAAGAATTATTTATATTCTAATATGAATAAAAGGTTTCTGTTTCTGTACCTACTACTGTTAATAGAATACTTAAATAAATTACGATTTACAATAATAAATAGAGTTACCTACATTATAATTTGTTTTATGTAATACAACCAGTTTAAAACATATTTCTTACTGTGTGTTGGTAATATCGTAAGTATAAATAGACATTATCCCTTAGCCATCTTTGTATTTAGAATTTACACTCACAATCAATCAATACATGTCAAAAATAGAATCCATACGACATTTGTGCATAGACAGGCACTATGTTTTGCCGGAACTAGTGAAAGGTTTTACATCGATTTTAAAATATTTATAAACTATGAATATAGATATATTACAGCTTAGTTTTATATGTACTATTATTTAAGTGTGCACTATTTTAACTTATAATCCCGATGAATACTACTAGAATATCGCTTTCAGTTTGTTTTTAGGTTATTGTTAGATTCACATTTTATTTGTTAATTTCTCAGGACTCCGTTTAGGTGCAGTAAAACTAATAATATTATTGTAATCTATGGATTATAAGGAATAAATCGACATGCATTTCATTGAGAATCTTTAAAATTTGTAGTGGGCCCATTCTCCATAGGAAAATTGATTGTCTCCTTTACGAAAATGCTTAAAAACCCCTGAGCTCCAGCATGAAACTGCAAAAAGGACCGGTCTCTGTGACAGCACCGATTTCCAGTCCGGTCCATACCACCCATGCAACTCTAGCGGACGCGTTCATGCTTACTTTTAATGTCTAAAATTTTAAACAAAAAGAAATATTACAAATGATATATTTATCAGAGCAATTCATACATTATATTTTACACAATAGAGTTGAAATTGGAACGACTTTGCCCAGATCTCGTTGGTGGACACTGGGGGCGGTGCCGGGGGCGGGGGCGGGTGCGGCGAGCCGGGCGACATGGAGGAGGAGAGTGCGGCGCCGCAGCGCGCCCGACCACGTGTCGGAGCTGGGCGCGCTGGTGCTGGCGCAGCCGCTCGCCGGGCCCGCAGTGCTGCACACGGTCGCTAATATCACTTTATATCACCCACTCACGGCAGGCCTTGCTAAATCGCGCTCCGCAATATGATTTTGTTCTGTATACAAGACTACCCGAAAAGAGGGGTAGTATTTTCGGGTGTATGTATGTATTCTTAGTGACTGTTTTACTACAAAGCAACCTAATTGTTCTACTATATTCTTACATAATGTTAAGGACCAACACATATTGTGTCATCTTATCAGGAAAGTTATAGGTTTAAACTTGATGATGCTAAATAAAGAATAAAAATACTTTAATTTAAAAATACAACAGAACTCTGTTGCTATTTCCGCAACTGCGAAAGTTCTGCATGATTTTTGACATCAGTTTCCGCTAGTTTTATAACTGAAACTTGAACAGAACTCGGCGACGCAGCCTCATGAGTAGATAAAAATCCCGTTTATCTACTCATGTAACGCAGTGGACGAGGTACGCGCGCATCGTTTGATAGTTGAGCAAAGAGCGGGGAGGGGCATTTCAGTCAACCAAAAGCGCGCTGGGCACGAGCTTTCGGCAATTGTCCCAACGGGCTTGTTTACATACTTTTTTAACTTTACTATATGGCGTGACGTGAGTGTTATAGCGTAAGATTTTCTGTTATTGTGTTTTTAGTCAATTAGTAATTTGAGTCGTGTGTGTAACTTAAGTGCAATCTTGAAGCCAAAAGCTAGTCCTTTATAGTTATCTGAGAAATTATACTCGCAAAAAGGCCGCACAAATACCGCTTTAAAGAGCCACCTTAAAGCAATACACGCCGAAGAGTTTACAGAGTTTGAGAAGTTAGTTGAAACTGTGAAACTTTCATTGCAAACTAAAAAACAAATGGTCAGTCAAGGAACTGCATACCTATTTATAAAATGTATTCCTATGTCATAGTTAAAACCCATTTTTAATTGTAACGTGTTCTAACTAGTTTTTACTAAATGCCTTTGTTACAACTTAGATTTGTAAAAATTTATTAGACAGCAGTTATGTTTACGTGAAGTTTATATTAATTATTTTTAAAGACACTTTAATGAGTATTTTGGATTCAAGTTCGTTTACGTCGTACTTTCGTGCTAGGGCTGTACTAAATTACCTACTCGTTAAACCGAAATGTGGCTCTTTAAAGGGTATGTCCATATTTCAGTGCCAATTTAGGTTTCGTGTATACGCGGCATCGCTAGTGAGCAATTATTTAGGGAAGCTGAACTTATATATGAAGAACACTGGAACAGATTGTTAGGTGTAAAAGCGGCCAAACTGCTTTTCATAAAATATATTACTTACCGCTACTTAATTTAGAATGATAATGAAAAGATTTATTTGAAAAAAAAAGTATTTCCGCTTCCGCATCAGTTACTGTTTCCGTTTCTGCAAAAAAGTATTTTTAACATCTGTTTCTGTTTCAATTCCGTTGCATCACTATCCTTATCCTTAGCTCAACTAAACTAGCATAGCTTTCCCTTTGAATTTACTGATATGTAATTTACTTAACCAAAGAAGCTATGGAAGCCAATTAAGACAAAAAGCCAATGTTGGGATAAATAGTATCTAGTTCCTTACTCCAGGATATAATCTATTTCTTTTTCAAGTTTTGATATAATCAGTACATTCTACTTGTGATTAAATAACATGGCATTCCTATTAGTTGTCTTGTGTTGTTTTTAATGTTTCGAAGTGAAGTTGTTATAATGTGCGTTCGGCATGGGTGTGCAGATATTGCGCGCACTAACGTGGAACGACTCGACGTCGTCGCTGCGCGCGTGCGCACTGGCACTGCCTGCGCTGCGCGCCGCGCTGGATGCGGGCCGCGTGGGCGCGGCGGAGGCGAGTGGTGCGCTGGCCGCTGTGCTGCAAGCGCTGCGCACGCACGGACAGCACGACGGCAACCAGGCCGCGCTGCTGGCGCTCGCCGTGCAGGTACGTGTGTTTGGTGTGTGTGTGTGTGCACGCGCTGGCCACCGTGCTGCAAGCGCTGCGCACGCACGGACAGCACGACGGCAACCAGGCCGCGCTGCTGGCGCTCGCCGTGCAGGTGCGTGTGTGTGTGGTGTGTGGTGTGTGTGTGCACGCGTTGGCTGCCGTGCTGCAAGCGCTGCGCACGCACGGACAGCACGACGGCAACCAGGCCGTGCTGCTGGCGCTCGACGTGCAGGTGCGTGTGTGTGTGGTGTGTGTGTGTGTGTGTGCACGCGTTGGCCGCCGTGCTGCAAGCGCTGCGCACGCACGGACAGCACGACGGCAACCAGGCCGCGCTGCTGGCGCTCGCCGTGCAGGTGCCTGTGTGTGTGGTGTGTGTGTGCACGCGCTGGCCGCCGTGCTGCAAGCGCTGCGCACACACGGACAGCACGACGGCAACCAGGCCGCGCTGCTGGCGCTCGCCGTGCAGGTGCGTGTGTGTGTGTGCACGCGCGGGCCGCCGTGCTGCAAGCGCTGCGCACGCACGGACAGCACGACGGCAACCAGGCCGTGCTGCTGGCGCTCGCCGTGCAGGTGCGTGTGTGTGTGGTGTGTGTGGGGGCGGTGTGTGCGGCGGGCAAGTGGCGCGCTGGCCGCCGTGCTGCAAGCGCTGCGCACGCACGGACAGCACGACGGCAACCAGGCCGCGCTGCTGGCGCTCGCCGTGCAGGTGCGTGTGTGTGTGTGTGTGTGTGTGTGTGTGTGTGTGTGTGTGTGTGTGTGTGTGTGTGAGTGTGTGTGTGTGTGTGTGTGTGTGTGTGTGTGTGTGTGTGTGTGTGTGTGTGTGTGTGTGTGTGTGTGTGGTGTGTGTGTGTGTGTGCACGCGCTGGCCGCCGTGCTGCAAACGCTGCGCACGCACGGACAGCACGACGGCAACCAGGCCGCGCTGCTGGCTCTCGCCGTGCAGGTGCGTGTGTGTGTGGTGTGTGTGCGTGTGTGCGTGTGTGTGCGTGTGTGTGTGTGTGCGTGCACGCGTTGGCCGCCGTGCTGCAAGCGCTGCGCACGCACGGACAGTACGACGGCAACCAGGCCGTGCTGCTGGCGCTCGCCGTGCAGGTGCGTGTGTGTGTGCACGCGCTGCGCCGCCGTGCTGGGGGCGCAAGCGCTGCGCACGCACGGACAGCACGACGGCAACCAGGCCGCGCTGCTGGCGCTCGCCGTGCAGGTGCGTGTGTGTGTGGGGTGTGTGTGTGTGCACGCGCTGGCCGCCGTGCTGCAAGCGCTGCGCACGCACGGACAGCACGACGGCAACCAGGCCGCGCTGCTGGCGCTCGCCGTGCAGGTGCGTGTGTGTGTGGTGTGTGTGTGCAGGGCGCGCTGGCCGCCGTGCTGCAAGCGCTGCGCACGCACGGACAGCACGACGGCAACCAGGCCGTGCTGCTGGCGCTCGCCGTGCAGGTGCGTGTGTGTGTGGTGTGTGCGCGTGCGTGTGTGTGTGTGCAAGTGGCGCGCTGGCTGCCGTGCTGCAAGCGCTGCGCACGCACGGACAGCACGACGGCAACCAGGCCGTGCTGCTGGCGCTCGCCGTGCAGGTGCGTGTGTGTGTGTGCACGCGCTGCCGCGCCGCCGTGCTGCAAGCGCTGCGCACGCACGGACAGCACGACGGCAACCAGGCCGTGCTGCTGGCGCTCGCCGTGCAGGTACGTGTGTGTGTGGTGTGTGTGTGTGTGTGCAAGTGGCGCGCTGGCCGCCGTGCTGCAAGCGCTGCGCACGCACGGACAGCACGACGGCAACCAGGCCGTGCTGCTGGCGCTCGCCGTGCAGGTGCGTGTGTGTGTGGTGTGTGTGTGCAAGGGCGCGCTGGCCGCCGTGCTGCAAGCGCTGCGCACGCACGGACAGCACGACGACAACCAGGCCGCGCTGCTGGCGCTCGCCGTGCAGGTGCGTGTGTGTGTGGTGTGTGTGTGTGTGTGTGTGTGTGTGCACGCGCTGGCTGCCGTGCTGCAAGCGCTACGCACGCACGGACAGCACGACGGCAACCAGGCCGTGCTGCTGGCGCTCGCCGTGCAGGTGCGTGTGTGTGTGACGCGTGTGTGTGTGTGTGTGTGCAAGTGGCGCGCTGGCCGCCGTGCTGCAAGCGCTGCGCACGCACGGACAGCACGACGGCAACCAGGCCGTGCTGCTGGCGCTCGCCGTGCAGGTGCGTGTGTGTGTGGTGTGTGTGCACGCGTGCGGCCGCTGTGTGCGGCGGAGGCAAGTGCGCGCGCTGGCCGCCGTGCTGCAAGCGCTGCGCACGCACGGCCAGCACGACGGCAACCAGGCCGCGCTGCTGGCGCTCGCCGTGCAGGTGCGTGTGTGTGTGTGTGCACGCGCTGTGTGTGTGTGCAGTGGCGCGCTGGCCGCCGTGCTGCAAGCGCTGCGCACGCACGGCCAGCACGACGGCAACCAGGCCGCGCTGCTGGCGCTCGCCGTGCGGGTGCGTGTGTGTGGTGTGTGTGCACGCGCTGCACGCGGGCCGCGTGGGTGCGGCGGAGGCAAGTGGCGCGCTGGCCGCCGTGCTGCAAGCGCTGCGCACGCACGGACAGCACGACGGCAACCAGGCCGTGCTGCTGGCGCTCGCCGTGCAGGTACGTGTGTGGTGTGTGTGCACGCGCTGCACGCGGGCCGCGTGGGTGCGGCGGAGGCAAGTGGCGCGCTGGCCGCCGTGCTGCAAGCGCTGCGCACGCACGGACAGCACGACGGCAACCAGGCCGCGCTGCTGGCGCTCGCCGTGCAGGTACGTGTGTTTGGTGTGTATGTGTGTGCACGCGGGCCGCGTGGGCGTGGTGGAGGCGAGCGGCGCACTGGCCGCCGTGCTGCAAGCGCTGCGCACGCACGGACAGCACGACGGCAACCAGTGTGTGTGTGTGTGTGGTATGTGTGGTGTGCACGTGATGCACGCGTGATGTGTCGATTTAATAAAAAGAGGGCCGATTATTGGATCTCCGCGAATGCCTGCCCAAACTATAATATGTTTCTATAGCTATGTTGCAGTTATATTGACGTGTTTAAGCCACGCTGCAGTTATATTATGGTCGTAATACGAATGGGTTTGCTCGACCGGGATAGGACTACGCTCTCACAGAAAACCTGCGTAAAATAGGAGATTAATGCTTCTGTGTTTCGTATGATTTCTTTACTGGAAGTTTATAGAATAGGTGTGACTGAATTTCGATTCTTATTCGAGGATAAATGTAGATGTCTTTGAGCCACAGCATCCATTCACCATCACATGGACTGTGTGCTCGTTTGTCACCCTCAAAGATGGTGTTCGTGCAGACGTACGAGACGCTGCGACCACAGTTCCCGGGCGTGGCGAACGTGCTGCGCGCCATCCCCGGCGTGGACGCGCACGACCTGCGCCGCCTTGACGACAAGCTGGCCGCCGCGCACCCGCGCCCCGCCAAAATCGACAAGGCCAAACGCGACCTGTTCAAGAAGATCGCCTCTAGGGTCAGTACACCACACGACTACACAACCCCCGGTTTAGTTCCCGGAATAGTTTACGATACCATATTATCGATAAAAAGATGATGAATTGAGTTAATGAGATTATGATTCTAAAGTATATTATGATGTCTAATTCACATTAATTAAAACCTCCACATATTGGATGGGTGGGGAGGGTTATGTAATATAAAATAATAATAAATAATTATATATCCTTCCAGCTAATTGGACGCAACGTGGGGCAGCTCTTCAAGAAGGAAGTATACATTTTGGACTTGCCTACAATGCACGTCCCTAAAGAGAAAGCTCGAAACGCACTCGACGGGCCCGAGGGCGCCGCACTCGAGGGACTGTTCGCGCATCAAGCGCCCACGTAGCGACATCTGACCTTAAGCGATCACCGGCAACGCGCATACGGAAGCGAATTTAGTTTTATATGTACATTTTTAGTTTTATTTGCCTTGTGACCGCTTTACGTAACCAGGTTCTAATTGCGCTTGCATAACGAGTGTAATAAAATATGGCGCGGTTGTCAAAGTATTTTAAAATACCATTTCGCTTAAGGACTTATAATATTAGACCAAAAATTAAATTTGTTGGCCTCTTAATTTATTTGGGTACAGTATTTGATACCGCAAAAGAGGTATCTAAAAAAATTTGTCCCGTCACGTTGCATTTTGTTTTACATCGGTTAACTAATTTGTGTCTTCAACTATGGATTTATATTGTCTGTATCACAAACAATAATAATTGTGTAGACAAAGATATATTTTGTACATTTATATTGAGATCAACTCTTATTACCATACCAAGCATTCACCGAGTAGGTTAATATTATTATTTCATTCTCATTTAAATTAAATAGGTGCGAGGTTAATTTTAACCGGGCCATTGAGCAACTGTTACATTAATGTTAACAAGATTGACACTTGCGTGCGTCATCGTACCGCCTGTGCGTCCGTGCGCTATCGTAACTTGAGTTAGCGCAAGCCATATCCTACTCGCAATGTTATATACATTTTACTGTGAATAACCGTTTATATGTTAATAAATTATATTATTGAATTGTGATTGTATTTATTATCACACGAATATCCTTGTCCTCAACGTAATATATTCCTAGCACTTGTGGCATCATGTGATTAGACCCAAGCATGTACTTTTTTATTATTTACAATTAACCATGTAACAATATGATAGGATAAGATAGTCAAGATTCAAAATTGCCCCAGGACGTTTTTAAAAAGACTATTTAAAACTTAAGACTTGTTACATTAATTAATACCAAGTACTTAAAACTACATATCCGATACATGTGACAGCCTAACTATGAATATCATAATTCTTAATCTAGAACATTAAGCTAAAGTAAAGAGCCGTTACCAGTATGCATATAAAGGACCACGTGTCTTCCAGACGCAATTCAACTATACGTCCACGTTTACCCTTTTCGCTCCGTAGCAGTAACTTCCCGTTACCGGGATGCATAAATCCTTCCCCGGCGGTCGCAGTTAACTGCATCCACCTGAGCGCTCTCCGCTTGACAAATTTGTATCGCTTTCGATAACGTGAAATCGTCGGTACGAAGTAAACGATCCCTGACCATGTATAAGGCAGTTTTGTGTGTATTTTATAATAAATATCATGGAACACGCGCGTCCTCCAGCGGAATTATCACTCGAAGGCGGGCCAGTCGCGCGGGCCGAATCGTGGCGTCAATGGCAGCGGCTGTTCGAAGTGTTCTTAAAAGTATCCGGAGTGAGCAAAGAGCCTAAAGATATTCAAGCTAGTTTGTTGGTTAACCTCATCGGCTCGACAGGATACGAGGTGTTTATGACTTTTACTTTCGCAGAGACATCAATTGCGTTTTGAAGAAGTTAGTTAGGTTACACCAGCACCACCCATAATACGCATAAAGCGTCCATCAGCATAAATACACAAACGCTGAGTATGTAGTAATTTAAGTAGACTGTAAGCATAGGATTAAGAATTGTAAAAGACAATGGTCAGAATAAATTCACATCTCACTCTGTGAACACGTACTTTTAATTAGGTTTTAAAAAGCTCTCGGCAGTTCCCGCAACTTGACAGGCGCAGCCGGTAGGATCGCCGGAAAAGCTGTGCCACCGTTCGTGAATATCGTGTATACAATTTTACCCATTTTCGCGCATCGGCGGGCGATTCATACAGCGTGGTGATCCAGCGAACCAAAACAAATTCGTCGAGAATAAGGAGCCGTGAAGCTGATGATGGGCACTGCGGGCTGGTGAGCACGACTCTTCACCTCCTTCATATCCCTTAGTAAACTTGGAATTAGACATTTTCCATTTTGACTGTTATTTGGGTTTCAAATATCAATTTTACGTAAATTTTATAAAGTATTAAGTGCAATAAATAACTATAACTTAAATAAAAACAAATTAATTGTAATACGTACATAATATTAAGTCCCATAATAGTCAATAAAGTTATAGAGTAATATTATATTTGTCGACTAACTCACTTCACTATGCTTCTACACTACTAAATTAAACACTGCACTTTTACTTCACTTTTGACTCATTTATTCGAAACCATCCAACACCTATAAGGTATAGCAATAGCGCAGCTATAGCGTAATACAATTATATTTGTGGTGCCATCTATTATTGCTTTGGGCATATTTAACATTGACAACTGATATTGCACCTCTATGCTTATCTCTACATTTTTCTAAATACATGACAATAATATGTCACTGTAATATTTACTAACAAAATGTCTTCAATTTAGACATACCGCCCACCAAAAGACTTGTTCTTTTCCAAATTTAACAAAATTTCAAATGAATCTAACTGTAATAAGATACTTATATACAAAAACCGCCCACCATGAGGCGCAATATCAACATAAAAGGTATTATCTTTAAAATTAATTAAGCTTCTTAACAAATACGAAAATTACTCTACGATATTAACAACATTCTAATTCTTAGGTAAATAACACAATTTATTACAAGGACGCTTACAAACACCATTCTTAGTTTTTATAGATACAATTCTTGTGATGTTATCTGCTCCAGGATGCTTTTCAATGACCTTTCCAATCAACCATTTGGCTGGAGGAAGGTTATGGTCCTTTATTATTACCACATCATCGATCTCAGGTTCAATTTTCCTTGTATTCCATTTATATCTTTGGTTCAGCGTGACCAAATACTCTTCTGACCATCTTTTCCAAAAGTCGTTTACCATTTTCTGATTGAATTTCCATCTTTGTAGTCCAGTCATCGGTACATTTGAGTAGTTTTCTCCTGGTACTACAACCAATGGTTCACCTACCAGAAAGTGACCTGGGGTTAGTGGTAATGGATCCTCTGGATTGTCACTTATATAGGAAATTGGACGTGAATTTAAGCATGCCTCAATTTGTGCTAGAACTGTAGAAAGTTCTTCGAAAGTTAGCTTTGAATCACCTATTACTCGTTTCAGATGTGATTTCATGCATCGAACTCCCGCTTCCCATAGGCCTCCAAAATTAGGAGAATGTGGAGGTATGAAATGCCACGTCGTTCCTTCATTAGCAAGCAGTTTGTTGATTTCATCGGGAAGCTTAGATTTGACACTATTGAGCATTTCGCGTAACTCTTTATCTGCGCCGACAAAATTGGTGCCGTTATCGCTATATAAATCTCTACAGTGACCACGACGAGACACGAAACGACGAAAGGCTGCAATAAAACCTTTAGCTGTTAAATCCGAGACGGCTTCTAAATGTATAGCTTTCGATGTCATACACACAAAGACACATATATATCCTTTGTATGTTTTGGCTCCTCGACCGGGTGACATGCGTATATTTATATAACCCGTGAAATCAACACCGGTTGATTGAAACGGTCGAGATGGCTTTAATCTAGTTTCAGGAAGTTCACCCATAAACTGGTTATTGTCTTGCCTGGAGTATCTTAAACATTTCATACATTTTCTGTAGCACTTCTTAACCAGCTCTCTTGCCCGAATTATCCAGTATTTAGATCGTATAAAATTTAACATTATTTGTGGCCCACCATGCAATGTCTTTATATGAGCATCTAATATTATTAATTTAGTAATATGGCTCTCACTAGGCATAATTATTGGGTGCCTATTGTCATAGTCCACTTGAGCACGGTGAATGCGGCCGCCAACTCTTAACACTCCATTCTCGTCAATAATTGGACAAAGAGAGTGAAGATGGTTGTTTTTTCCAATATGTCCCTGTTTTTTTATCATTTGAATTTCCTTTTCAAAAAAGATGTTCTGAGTATGTTTGACACAACATTGAAGAATTTCGTCCATTTCTTTGACAGTAACAATTTTAGAAAACTTTCTTTGATTTATAGGTAGCTTCCACTTTAAAACTCTTTTACATACAGCTAATACTTTTAAAGTTTTAGTTAAGCTCGAAAACTTCGTAAATAGTGGATCTTCTTCACGATTTGTCTTTACTGTAAGAAATTGTTTGATTGGTCTTTCTTCTTCTTTAGTTATAAATTTTCTTTTAGTCTGTATATATTGAGTCGTCTTCCCTTGCAACCACGAGGGGCCATGCCACCACAAATTATTATCAAGAATACGGCTTACGGATATACCTCTTGATGCACCGTCTGATGGATTATCGTTTGTGTTGACGTGACTCCACTGATCTTTGTCCAACATAGTCAAAATCTCTGAGACTCGGTTGCTGACGAAAGTTGACCATCTGCTAGGCTCACCGTTAATCCATGCCAACACCACAGTTGAATCAGACCAGGCATATAGATTTTCTTTAGGGATCTTCATTATCTGTGATGTTTCGTATATCAATTTAGTAGCTAGCAATGCAGCACACAGCTCTAGTCGAGGAATTGATACTTCCTTGCCGATTGGAGAAACTTTAGTTTTCGCTGACACTAAATTAACACAAACATGACCATTACTGTCAACCGTCTTCAAATAAACTGCTGCCGCATAAGCCGCTTGTGATGCGTCAGCGAATACATGCAACTCTATTTTATCTTTCCCTTTGGTGTTTACCCATCTGGGTACGACAATTCTCTCTACCTTAGCGAGATCGTTTTCGAATTCTAACCATTCCTTCATTAAGCTTTCTGTTAGTGTTTCATCCCAACTTAAACCAGATTTCCATAATTTTTGAATATAAATTTTTGCCGTCACAATAATTGGCGCTATCCATCCTAGGGGATCATATAATCTAGCTATTTTTGAAAGGACATGTCTTTTAGTCATTGTTTCAGGTAAATCCGATAATTTTAATACATATTCGAAACAGTCCGTTGTCCGATTCCATCTTATGCCTAACACCTTTATCATATCGTTATTAATTTTGAAAACTAATTCTTCTGATCCTTTACTTT